TAAATATTATTGTTATACACATACAATGTATGCACATTCACGTTACTACAATCTGTCGATACCTTTAATTTGGTATTGCACACAGTCAAACCTTTCTCTGACTGTTAAAGGGGCATTATCTGTCAAATTCATGTTCACCAGTTTGACTGAAATTCTCATATTTGATTTATAACATACTAAAATGTATGTCAAAAATATAAAAAGTCTAAAATAAACAATTTACGATGCATGGACTCGACAATATGTATCAGCATTTCATGTGTATTTTAGTCTAGACCTCATCTAATTAAACATCAAGGTGACCTCAAAAGACTACCGACGGTCATTTAACCCGATAAAAACATAAATATAGATATAAATAGATAGCAAACACTTGCAATTGGATTTTTCTAGGTCTGTTTGATTTCATATTGTAGGTTAAAAAATATGTTAATCATCGTTTTTACCTGTATAAGTTTGAGTTTTTTTGTTGATTGAATCTGTCAATCAAATGGTTAACCCTTGTGTCACGTTCAAAGTTGATATCCTTTTCCTTTTAATAGCTGAACACACCTAATGTATGCTTAACCTATCTCTAGCTAAGGGGCAAATTAAAGGTCAGATGAATACAGATTCGAATGAGGTCGAATTATTAACTTGCAAGTGAATAATTCCTCAGCGATGTTTCTTAGCTTATTTTGACAAAATTGAACCAAACTGGCTGCTAAAAGCGAATTATTATAATTCACTATTTCACTTTCATTAATGATTGAACAAACAAAAATCGTATTTTTTTTGGTTGTATATCTCGTAGCTAATGCCTCTTTAATGACGTCTTTACACTAGATCCATTGGATGTTGGATGTGTACTGATTGCTATTTTAGTCTTAGATGCAGGATTGATTTACTAGTTGTTTTTGCTTTGAAACTAGCTGTCAGTAACTGCGAGTACTCTCAGATCTGTACTTTGTGTCTTTTTTTGTTTTTAAGAATGTATGAGTACCCTGCCACGTCCGGTCTGCGTTTATTTGTTAGATGTCTTTCTACTTGGTTTCGATCTGATGAGTTAAGCCCTTTTCAATTGATTTTATAGTTTGTTCTTATGCTGTAATGTTACATCACTGTCCCTAATCAGGAGGATGGTTGGCGCCTTCGAAAATGTTTAACCTCGCCACATTCTATACGTGCCTGTCCCAAGTCAGGAGCCTGTAGTACATTGACTTGCTGAAGATATAAACACATTAGAACAAATATCTCAAACAGGTGAAATTTTGGAACGGATTGAAAAAAAAAAACAGATCTAAAAATTCTCGGACATAATGATTTGCGGGGTCAATATTTAAGGTCAAAGACACAATGGATAGAGGAAGGAAAGAAACCATCAAAATATTTCATGAATTTAGAGACAAAAAATTAGGCAAATAAAGCAATTCCTAAATTAGTTGATGAATCGGGGAAATAAAATTGAAAATTATGCAAAAACAAATTCTAACTGAGGCCCAAATGTTTTTTTAAATCTATATTTGAAAAAAGAGAAAATACATTACATTAATTTGAATAATGCTATATCCCATAATGATATATCAAAACATCCAGAAAGTATGAGAGAGTCCATAGAAGGAAAAATAAAATTTGTAGAGTTGACTAATGCAATTAAAAGAATGAATACTGAGAAAAAACCTTGATATGATGGACACGCATATGAATTTTAATTTTTTGGATAGATATAATAGGTAATTGTTTTCATTGATCAATAAAATATGGTTGTAATCAAGTGAAATGTCTATTACAAAAAAACAAGGTTTTATTACTTGCATCCGTAAAGGTGACAAACCAAAGCAATATATGAAAAATTGGCGACTAATCAGTCAATATTATCAAAGATGACTAGACGTGATTTATACCTAGTAGATTTATTGGTGAAAATACTAGAATCATTAAGATTATATCTGATTAATTCCCCTACACTACAGGAGGATTTCTTATTGTTGAGTTGCGAGTTAAAACGTCGAATAGTGAGTTACAAAAATCGGGTTGCGAATTATAAAAATCAAGTTGCGAGTTAAAAAAAGTCGAGTTGTGGGTTTCAAAAGTCGAACTGCGAGTTTAAAAAAAAGTCGAGTTGCGAAATAAGAAAGTTTTAAATGTTTAAAAAAAAAGTAAATGATTTATATTACTGATAAATAAGCGGACGGCAATTTAAATTATGAATGCAGGCCTTGCAGTTTTCTTTTGAAAATTGAATGAGTCTATTTATTGGTTGTGTTGACGCAACTTTCAACACTGTACGCTATATAATTGCTGCCAGTTTTTAGTGATGGAGGAATTCGGAGTACCCGAAGAAAACTACCACTCTCCGGAAGGAAAACTGATATTCTTAATCAATTACGATTGGAGTAGAACGCACCTTGCTACGCTCAAAACCTCAGTTAATATATATTCTGTCCTGAATAAATGAAATTTATTCTGTCCCTCGTCTGAGTTGAAACATATTATCGAGCTGTATTCAATTATTATCTACCCTTTTGTTGTTTCAATGCTAAACATATTGAAATTCTGCAGAGCATTTACAGCCTTTCCCCGAGTACTCTTATATTTGACAATTCTGTACTAGATGGAGATTTACTACATGCACTGCTAAAATGATTTCCCGAAAACAAGTTTTTAAATAAAGATATTTAGTTAAAACAAAACCTTTTAGGGTGCGCTTGACTTGTGCATTTAATTAAATACAGATGTTTCTGACAAAGTCTTGATTCCTCTGGAACATGATATATTTGTTCCTTAAACTTGATTTCAGACCTATTTGCTACATGATTTTTTAATGAACACATGCACCTACTTATTTGTCAATGAATAACAACGAAAGATTGTGTAAATTTGCCACACAGACCCCGTCACACTTGCATATTTCCGTAACCCTCAGAAACCGCTTTAGTTAAAAGCAAGGTTAACTTGTTGTATTGTTACACCACTGTCCCAGGTTAGAAAGGGGGGGGGGTTTAGCGCCAGCAAACTCGATTGATCCCGCTATATACATTCTGTATGTGCCTGTCCCAAGTCAGGAGCCTGTAATTTAGTGGTTGTCATTTGTTGCTGTATATCAAATTTGTTTTTCGTTCATTGTTTTGTACATAAATCAGGCCGTTAGTTTTCTCGTTTGAATTGTTTATCATTTATCATATCGGGGCCTTTTATAGCTGACTATGCGGTATGGGTTTTGCTCATTGTTGAAGGCCGTACGGTGGACTATAGTTGTTAACCTCTATGTGATTTGGTCTCTGGTGGAGAGTCGTCTCATTGGGAATCGTACCACGTCTTCTTATTGTTATATTAAACGACACCTTGATAATATATTTTAAAATAAATATACTCATATCAGATCTATTCCATTTTTATGAACCGGAAATCTACATTGCAGTTGACCGCAGATAATGGCGTGTAAAATTTTCAGGGAAGTCGAACTTCTCTGCTGAAGGTTTATGACCACTTCTGTTGGTCTGTGTTTTACGAAATATTCAAAATGTAACAATATATAAACAGCAAAAATGCTGAATAAAAGGGACGTGCCATTTTGTAGATATACCACGGGGACACGTCGTTATTACCGGGTCTGTACTAACATGAGCAACACGACGGGTGCCACATGTGGAGCAGAATCTGCTTACCCTTGCGGGGCACCTGAGATCACCCCCTGTTTTTGGTGGGGTTCGTGTTGCTCAGTCTTTAGTTTTTTATGTTGTGTTTTGTGTACTATTGTTTGTCTGTTTGTCTTTTTCTTTTTTAGCCATGGCGTTGTCAGTTTATTTTCGACTTATGAGTTTGAATGTCCTTCTGGTATCTTTCGCCTCTCTTTAACAGCAATAACATGTAGTTTTTCATTGCATTCAAAATTTGTACAGAAAATCAACATACTTTACTACAGAGATTTTCGTTGTAACATTTGAAACATAGATTACTCACTTGTTTGTCCATGTTGTGCTAGCGTTTATTGTTTACAAAAAGTCATAAACAACCTTTAAATAAAAAAAACTTGCTGATTCAAGAAAGTGGAACGCAGTCTATAATGTGTACTTGAATAATTCCATATTTATACTTGTTTTAACTAACACCTTTATTTAAAAACTTGTTAAGGGAATAATTTCTAGCACTGCATGTAGTAATTCTCCATCTTTAAGTACAAAATAGTCAAATAAAAGAGAACACGGGGAAGGCTGTAAATGTTCTATAAAATGCTTGTAAACAACAAAAGGGTACATAAACACAGCTAGATTATTTGTTTCAACTCAGACGTGTTATTTTTTTTATCCTTTTGAAAGAGACTTTCATTTTGATCAAAGACGATTTGACAAAGTTGTCGATGTTTAAAACACTTTAGCCACATATTGACTTATATAATGACGACACCGCATACGCCGATGACGGAATGTTGGATCGCTATGTTTCGCTTCCACGACAAAATATCTCAAGCTCGAAAAAAATTCATAAATCTGTCAGGCGTGATGGGCTCATTAGTTCGATAATAATGAATTTTTCTTCCCATGGCCTGACAATTTTGAATACTTTAATACTATCGTGTCTTTTGATATATTAGGACTCTAATCTCATTGTATTGTTGGCTTTAAATACTCAAAAAATTACGCCCTTTTGCAGTTATGGCTTTTGCGTAGAAGGCAAGTACAAAACACTACTGCGTTATATCCCATCGGCTCTTGTTGATTTTAAACTGGTCTATGACCCTCAACTGCTAAAACCACTAGTTACTGTTACTAATGTTAGCTAAATATTATACAGTATCATTTATCATAACTGGTTATGAAGCAAAATTGATTCACAATTTCTATAATTGTTTTATGTATAACGGCTGAAAGCCTAACATGTTTATGTATGCTACTAAATAAATGTAGTTATGCGTATTCCTACAACTGACAACAACCCATTAGCTTAAGACCTCCTCAAGTGAATAAGCTCTCTTAATTAAAAGTCAAGTCACAAATCATATGTATTATGTAAAGACAAGATCAGAATTTGAATGTTTATTCATTAAAGGAAAATTTTCAAATCAAAAGAAACAGCACACTTCACACTATGTAAAACATATATTTCATAAGTGAAAATGTTCTTACATAGCAATACAATTTACAAAAACCATTATGCATAGTCTGTGTCAGTTCTATAATTCTTCAAAAATATAATATAAAAAATTCACAGTTCATGTTTGGTAGCTCCTTTTTATACCATCACTTTGTTACAGTCACATGAACAATTTTTACCACTTTTTTGGTCACCGCCAATTTATTCACTCCAATTTGTGTCATTTACCTTATTAATGATTTGTTTCACGTTAAGCTTGAACTGAAGAATCAAGTCACATATGTAAATGCACAATGAACAGACAAAATTGTGAATATTTACTAATGACACGTTGTGCAACATACAACTTATCAGTAAAAACTGTCCTTAACTACCATTAGTAAATCACACAATAAAATTTACAAAAACCATTATGTAACATAAAATGGTGTTATTATACCACATCTTCTTATTTCTATTTACATATGGACCAGATAATTTGACATGCGATAACACATATACTACACAACTTAGTCCAAGGCACTAGCAATCAAATATAAAAAAAACTACCAGCTCAAGTGAGAGGAACTGAAAGTTTATGATCTGTGACCCGACCATTCATTGGTTTGCATCAATAATTTGAATCTTCTATAGTCGTGAACATTTGATTTAAACCAAATGTGAAGAATAACGTATAAGACAATGCATGTTTTCCATAATTAAAGATAATAAGGCAAGTAAAAAAGAATACACCATACAAACAAAATTAAAAACCCCAGTCATGTTACTGATAGCTCATACAGTAAGATGTATAGAAACGCGTTTGTTATTCAGACATGACTCGTTTGTCTCTATAAATAGCTGTTAGACATACATGGTATACTTAAACTATGACCTTATATCTGGAGACTTCTCATCAACATGATGGCAAATATTTGTTTAATATTCTATCAAAATATGATCGTCTTAACGGAAAGCCGTCCATATATATATATATATAAAAAAAAGAATTTCTGGTGGTGTGTGAGGTCTAACTTGTATGATATATACAATAGGTCATACTGCTTAATCAATTGCAGATCCAGTTGAAAATTTGAGGATTTTTGAAACGTCTGTAGCTATGCCTTCAAAGTGACATATTGATACGGCCTGTAAGGCAAACAGGATCCATTGCAACATTTTTGTAGCATCTTATTCCCTTACTATAGAAAGTACAGAGAAGGCTAATAAAAAATTAACTAGCAAGAATTCATGAGCACTAATAAAAAATTCTCTAGTAATTTGTATCAACTATCAACTGCATTTGATTATAAGTATGTTCCTGTAATAAGCTTATCATCGAAAAAAATTTGAGAATTGTCTTGCAAGGCTATCAGTTTGTATATAAAAGAGGCGGAAGATATCAATAACATTAACGCTTTCAATTTTATTACACCATAATCGCTTCCTTAATCTAAAATGATTTCGAAATTTAAAACTACAGCAAATTAAAATAAATCAATATACGTATTTTCATGCCAATACCTAATTACTGACAAGTAGGATGGTGATACCCTAGGGGACTAACAGTCCACCAGCAGAGATATCCACTCAATGGTAGTAATAAATGAAGTAAAAAAAATCCTGACAACGCCATGAAAAAAAAAAAATAAAGCAAAACAAAAGAAAACGACGAAAAGACTGCCGTGACAACAACAAATTGTTTTGCACAAACATTATTTTCGTAGCATACGCAAGATTTGCTACAAATAGTTTTGCTTTTGCATGTAAAAACCAGGTTCAATAAAATGTCAGAGGACATTGGACTTTCAAAATGTACTGGAACTTTGGAGCTATTCCCCATTTTCCATCTATATTCCAAAGGTGATCTAGGTGGTGGTATGAGCTTTCATCCAGACGTACACTTAGAGTGAAACTCGGAGAATGTGCTGTATGAATGATGCCTCTGAAGGAGGTAGTCTCACCAAGGAAGCATCATTAGTTAGCGCCGACGTCACTCTTGAGTTTATTGAGATGAACATGTACTGATGGAGCATTGCTTCTGGGGTCATATAGATCAGCAATGAATTGACTTTCCACTGTAATCGATCTGTCAATATTAGAACCAGCTAAATTGACAAACTTCGACACATGAATGGGTTTTGTTTCGACGCCTTATAAACTGTCTTTTTGCCAATTCAGAAGAAAGAAGACGTCGTGTTGTATCCCGTAAGAGCGTGAGTAGCCTTTAGTGTACCAGATATCACTGGTCCAATAACTTTGTACTTTAAAATATCCCGCTAGGAATATTTCGTCATGGTCTTGCAAATCAAAATCATTGTAGTGCGGGAGTGCACAGTAACATAAAAATCTTATCAACTCCTGTTTATTTTCGGATGAACAAAGAAATTTCTTACAATCACTAATTAATCTGCCTTCAACGACCCGGAAAACCTTAGATCTACCACCATTTGGAATATACCTCCTAATTCCTATGCTGATTTTGTAGAATGATCCACATCTTTCCGATCAAACACGTCCACGACACGACAGAAGTTTTCAAATCAAGCTATTAGGGTTTTAAAGTCGTCCTTGGCCAAATTTCCAAAAGTTATTGTACCGTTTTACATAAAAACTTTGTACAGTACCCATATAATCTCTGATCAGGGGTGTACTGGTTTTAAATTCAGGGATATCAGGCAACACATTTATCAGAGAGGTAGGAATAAATTGTAAAGCTGTAGGAATACAACATTGTGACGGAGATGAATAGTAATCATTTGAAATTTTGAACGATCGTAACTGCTTTTCACAATTTTTACCGCACCACGAAGGGTCTGGAAGAAAGGAACAATATGTATCTAGCAAATGATACGGCAATGAAAATGGTTTGTTTTTTCACAAACAGATTGTCGTGTAGACTTCCTGCTAGTTTTTTAAAACACAACATCATGCTCCGACTCATTTGAAGCATCAGAGGCAAGTTCAATTTTTCATTTCAACAAATAGTTTATAATGCATTGAGCAAGAATAAGGCAGCGCATTGTTTTTGAAGTAATCTATAGAGAGTAAACGTACCACTTGATAGTCGGACTGGTGCTTTGTGACATTTAAGTTCAGTATTTTTGTTATTTTACTTTTTAAAACATAATCGGCTCGCCCAATCGACTCGACATGCTTTTTATGCTTATCTCATTGTATGACTATTTTCTGCAGAATAAATATTTGGATCCAGTCGAATGGTAATGCCACGAAGCGTGTTTCAACATTAGTTGATTCATCCACGGAACGTTATGCACACGTTGCTGAGCATTGGTTTTTCCGTAATTCAAATGTATCACCATCTATTCTTCTTGTACATGTATAGGCTTTTTAACACGACCTATGATAATTCATTTGTTATAATTTGATGGAATCAGGACAGCACATCATTTTCCGGATAAATTCGGATGTGTTCCAATGTTATTTAAGATATGTCTATTCGAAAACTCAGCAAGGATAAAAACACCTCAAAAGTTAAACCTTAACAACTGTATTAAGCCAAACATCTAGACACAAACATTGATATCAATCTATATTCTTATTTACAATAATTTGGAAAATGCACAATTTAATTGTGAAAAACACAGCAAATCATAAGTCAGAGAAACATAGGATAATGAGTTCAACTTGACTTATTGAGGTGAACATTGAATAATAAAACTACTATATGATGAGCATTAAAAAAAGAATCGTAAAAGATTATTTGTATGTTCTCCCAAACTTTGATATATTAAAACTTCTTACGTATTGGTTGTTCCACTTTTTTTTTGTCAAAATTGACTACGGGTGATATATGCAAGAAATTTAACAAACTTTAACAGACGGTAAGATTGAAAACAATTTCACATGCAATTGAAATTCTTCTGATTCACTCAATATGTATTTTCGTTTGATATTTAAGTTTGATATTGAATACACCTGATGCATTACTTTTTCATTCTATAGCAAATATTTGCTGATATCTTTATACAGTAATTTATTATAAAAGAGAGGCGAAAGATACCAGAGGGACATTCAAACTCATCGGATGAAAATAAACTGACAACGCCATGGATAAAAAAGAAAAGGACAATCAATAGTACACATTATAAACGTTCCCGTGTTTGATAAACAAAAAAAAAAAAAATATCGGAAAGTCATTCTTTATCGCGATTTTACAAACAGACTGCACCGTGGGAAAACTCTACGACAGGACTAAATGATAGTATAGTGTTTACTCTATCATCATGTGAATTTTCAGCCGTGAGGTATTTCGGTCCTTTAAACACTTAAAATAAACAACCTTTTTTTGATTTGTCACTAATGATATGTAAATATTGTTGATTGTCCACTTGATTTTTAAAACATAATTATTCACAACCAATAATGAGATAGCTTATAAGACAAACAACGAGAGGTGAATTGATAAGTTCATGTCTGAAAGGATAAGTTCTATTTTTTCCCCGCACCATGTACGTTGCCTGAGTTGATTGTACCCATCATCATGAGCTTAAATGTTGATGTACTCAAGAAATTGATCGATATTCTGTGGAAGGAACTGTTATGGTACTAAAGTTGCCCTGCGTTGGGTACTTGGAGCTGACGGCAAAAAAGAATCTACCTGTAAACAAGAAAGAAAATCAGCCTGGGTATTTTTTTTCAGCGATGCGTTTTGTTTTACATAGGATGTTGTTTTGGAGGTATTTGGATACATTAACCTCAACATCTTCATCATGAGAACCTAGCAAAACCATTGTTACAGCATGCTGTTCCGCCTTATCTGGTTTGTTTGATCGAATCTACCGGCTTCTTTATAATTCAAAAAGTCTATGGTTTGCCTTTCGCTCATTGTTGAAATCATACGGTGACATATAGTTGTTTAAATTTACGTCATTTGGGATGTGGTGAGTAAATGTATCAATGGCAATCATATCATATCTTCTTATTTTTATTTAAACTATATATCACGTAGAATAACATAGAGTTTGCTATCATATCTGACTGTTAGTTAATCTTTTGTATTTTTCTAAAAATGAAAATCATTTAGAAAAAGGTTTGGTTTCGCTCTTTTATGTATCGCCTTTTTAATTGCGAAAAAGTGAAAACAAAATTTCAAGATTATGTTTATCTTGTTAAGATACTAGAACACACCCATGACATCGGGAACGTCTATTTTTTTCTGTGATTTTTGATATTCGCATTGTCATCTGATGAAATCAGACAGTGCTTACAATAGCTTTCTGTCTGCACCCGTCCTTGTTTTCTACCTTAGACCTACTTTTGTCTCTAGATTTATTGGCGTGTATGAATGCCACATGGTTGGCGCAAAATTTGAAACAAGAAAAAAATTACAAAACCACCTATTTTAAACGTGCGTTGAATATCTTAACATGCTCTATATGAATAAAAGAAAACCAATTCCCCTGAATCTGACATTTTTATACGAAATATATAAGTAATTCAATACTCTAGATCTGAGATTTTGTATATGAAATATGTAAGGGTAAGCAGTTCTATCTCCGCATGCGACACCTGTCGTGTTACTCTTATAAAATAAGTTGATAAATTATATCACAAAATAGAGGAATGGTAATTGACTCTCTCCTAACCCTAAGACATCACCAAATTTATAAACCATCGCCAAAGTAAATGTTCCAATCCTCAAACTTATTATAATGCAGTTTAAAAAATCAAGGATCAAGCATAGCAGTGGACACATAATCCGAAACCTGTGTAATGACGGAAAGTACACTAGAAATCATTTTGTTTTTTTTGTTTTCCAACCCCCCATTTAACCCATAATGAATAATCATCAGGGCGGAACCAAACAATTTGCTTACGTCCTTACCGGAAGAGAGTCATATTGATTGATTGAATCTGGAAAAGAGAGGCGAAAGATACCAAAGGGACATTCAAACTCATAAGTCAAAATAAACTGACAACGCCACGGCTAAAAAAGAAAAAGACCAACAGAAAAACAATAGTAACCAAAACACAACATAGAAAACTGAAGACTGAGCAACACGAACCCCACAAAAAACTGGGGGTTATCTCAGGTGCTCCGGAAGGATAAGCATCTCCTGCTCCACATGTGGCACCCGTCGTGTTGCTCATGTTAGAACAAACAGGTAATGAGTCTTATTCGGTAGGTCACATTCGGGAGAAGGGGACGAGATTTCAGTTACGACATTAGGAACATATCCGCTATCATCTGTAAAACGGATATTCTGTAACGGTCAACCAACTCGTGATGACGTCCGTAAAATTTACTAAGGGATGATTTCAACTTCACTACTTTGAACTCTTGGTTTATTAGCTTCCTTGTGAGCAGAAACCCTCTATCAAGGAAATCATGATAGGAAATACAAGCCCTGGAGTATCGTATCAACTGGGAGATATATAGTCCGTATGCAGGCGCTGCTGGAATGTTGCTACATAAAAATGGAAAGTTCACAATTGGGAAGCTGAAATCATCTCTTTTGTCATAAAGATTTGTTTTCAAACGACCCGCATTGTCAATTTCTAGATGTAAGTCAAGATATCAGACAGACTTAACTGTATCTGTTGTATCCTTTATCGCAAGTTTGATGGGATAGATGCGTTCAACAAAGTCACCACATTTTGAATTATTTTGTGAGAGAACATCATCTATGTAGCAGAAAGTAAAGTTAAAGGATACTGCTAACTTCTTTTCTTTCTTCCTAAGAAGTTTCTGTATGAAGTCAGCCTCATATGAATAAAGGAACAAGTCGGCAAGAAAAGGGGCACATTTGGTTCCAATGGGAATGCCGATTGTTTGTTGAAAAACAGGTCCTCCAAACATAACAAATTTGTTGTCAATCGTAGTGGCGACAAATGAAAACAGGTCTCCTCATTTAGTATTGTAGGGACTATATAAAGTCATTTATTTAAAAAAAAAAAAATATCAACCCCAGTCTGTATGTTAATGTTAGCTGCAAAAACCAACTTTTTCTAGTTACTAGTAAAATACGGAAAAACGAAAAAAAAAATATTTAAAATGTGCTGCTCTTGACTAAATAAGTTTTAATAATAATCGTTTTTTTCTGTAGCTATAAAAGATATTTATTGCGGGAAATGATTAAGGCTTTAACTTTCTTGCTTGACAATAATTTTGTTCGTTATGAAAATGCTTATATCGTCAAATAATCTGAATTCGTAAGAGTACTGACTGAGCACCTCTAAATACAAATCGTTTTCTTTATCGTTATTAATGTTCTTTAAAGGAAAATAGTAATACTCGTTGATAAAACCAGAGTTTATGAAATATGCATTTTTATCATTAGCTTGAACACGAGTACATGGACCCCTCTTTTTTAAAATGACATTTGACTTGATACTGTATGAAGGTTATTTATTCCAATTTTTATGAAAAAATCACCAATGATTTTTTTTTTAAATTAGATAAATATACAGCAAAAAATGCCGGTTTTTTCTAAAATCATGAAAATTTAATAAAAATGAATTATATCCAAAGAATTGTTACACAAATTAAGAAGATACTTTTGTAAAGAAGATATTCCAAATCGTTTTACAAAAATCCGCATGTATTTATCTTTTGAAACAAAAAAGTTAAGTAGTTCTATCCAAAGAATAGAAATGTCCAAGAAACCAACATTTTAGGTAAATGTCTTAAATTTCGACACCATTTATCTCTAAAATTAGCACATGAAGGTATATTTTTCATTACATATTTGAATTGACCAAGTGAAAAATAGCTTGTATGCAAATTTTCGTAAAAAATTCACCGTGGGATCGAAACTGTATCGTATGCCCTTAAATATAGATTCTACCACTGCAACAAGTGTGATACAATTTTTATCAACTCGCGACAGTAAAATATTCAAGTTTAAAACGCGAGGCTCGTCTAGCGTTTTAAATATTTAAAATGTAACTGTCGAGAGCGGATTATTATCGTTTTGCACGAGATTTGGTGGTGGAATCTGTTTCTCTAATGATTTTTAGACGATATACAGACAAATTTAATCCTTCTTTTCAAATGATCTGCAAAAAAGATGTGTTCTTTATATGTGACGTCATCAGGCAGGGTCGCCTTTTTTCATGACGTCACAATGGTAATTTCAAAGAAGAACAAGAAAATTTGACGTCATAATCTAATATTGACAATAAAGAACTGAGATTAAACAAACTACACGTTGATTAAATAAAAATAATCAACAGGTCAGGAAAAGGATAAATCGGGTAAGAGAAATATATTTACAAAAAAAAAAAAAAAAATAAAAACAATATTCAGCTGAATATCATTTCTATTTGTAGTTAATATTATCAATTCTTAGAGATAACGGTATTGGTACAAAATTGAGATGGCGATGTTCTTCTTGTCGCATTTTCAAAACTATTGTTTTCTGAAATATGTCATAATATAGCTGACTTGACTGAATGTATCCTTGCGTTAACACAAACAAAACTTTCACAGCGCTTCAGATATCACAGACCTTTGGTCGAAAGTTGTCTCATTGGTAACTATACCACATCTCCTTATTTTTAAACTGTAACAAGTTTCCAGCAGTTGCAAGCACATTTTTACGCTGTTTTCAATTATATCTTGCTAAATTGATTACACAACTGTGCAGGTGTTGTATTAAGTTCTTTAGTTTCACGATAAACAGTCTGGGTATGCAAAACAAGTAGAGGGGGAGGGCAATTAAAACTGGTTTAACCCATCACAGTGTGTGTCTGTACCAAGTCAGGCTAGCTGACCCTTGTGATGTTCTCTGTTTTTTGTCATTGTTTTTACCTATTATTTGTTCGGGGGAATCGGATGTTTGTGGTATGTGGTGTCTGTCGAAATGTCCAATATTTCACTCATTGCTTTGAAGGATGTTCGCTTGTCATGTTTTGGAATTTTTGTCAGATTTTCGGAATCCTCTGGTTTTATCCATTTGAATGCCTTAAACAAATTTGCCCATTGACACCCATTTTTCTTTTTTATAAATCCTTTACATGTATAATGATAAGCCATCTGTAAAAGTCTTATAAAATTTTAATTATTTTCAAATAGTTTTTGAGAACTTAAACTTGTCAATGATAAAGCTATGAAAAGTCAAGAGAGAACATTTTCCCGCCAAAATTTCAATGGCTAATATCTCGAAAACAAGCACCTTGACCTATATATTTTTTTTGCTCTTTTGATTCCTCTATTTATCCCCTATAAATATAAACTAGTGTTTTAAAAAGCTTATTATTTTGAAACTGAGAAGCGAACTCCCTTAAAAGTTTTAATATAATCTTTTCGAAACCGTTTTTTCATTTTAAAAAAAGACAACATACAAACATATAATATGATGACTTATTTCATAAATAATAAATATTAAGTAATTCAGCATTTAAAAAGTTTTGTATCTTGGAAGTTTATTTCAAAAAAAAAAATTAAAAATTACAAGATTATAATTTTTAAGAACCAGTGGTTGATTTTAGTTGTTAAATGTTGTATAGACTAATTAATTGAGATCCAAAATATCCCAATTATATACCTTCATGGCGGACGCTATATCATTTCAATGTAATGAGGTATCAAAATTTTCAGCCAACTTGAGAAAAAAAAAACCCCAGGATCGTATCAATATTCTGTACACGTTTAAGGTTGATAATACTTGAGTTAAAATTTCCAAATACTTACCGCTTTTCTAGTAATAACTCCTCAATCATTCAAAGCTATCCCTATTTCAAATGAATCTTTTCCTGTTTTAAAGCTGTGTTAAACAAAAAGATTGACACGTAAAATTGGAATGGTCCAAAGAGAATCGTTTGGTGCTCTGAAAAAAATTCTGTTAACAATTTCGAAAATAGCAATTCGTCAGTAATGGAGACCTATCTAATTTTCCAAAAATGAACCAACTGAAATGTTTAAAAGATGATCAACCAATCTTCTGAAATTTCATTCCATTATTTTAATTCATTTGCAGTAATAAATATTCTACAACATATCGACCACAAAGACAAAGGGTCGAATGAAAGATTACAATTATGTATTCTCAATATGATAATAATGTACATATTGATGTCAGATTTGTGATCGTCGTTAAATCGTTTTACTACATGATTCGACGCTTGATATTGTCGATTCATTTTTCTATTGGCTAAGAACTTATATGTTGACCTCTAAATTAAAGTCGTTTAAGTCGTTGAATTGTTGTCTCAACGGCGTAAAACTTATATTTCTTTTTAGGCATATTTACACAGTTAACTTAAATGTACTGTCATAACATGTCAAGACAAGTAAATGAATAAATGTCTGCTAAAAAAACCAAAAATGATACATACGTTTTTACATCTATTGTGCAATGTAAAGCATATAACAGTTGTTCCAACCACATTTCTATATCCTTTGTAGCGTCAATACATTTCATATTAGTACGAACAATGGGAAGAGAACATTCCTCCACCATTACCACAACCAATTTTTCAATATCTTCGAAATCTCTAATTGTAGTATGCATTCTGCCTGACTTCTCTGAGAAGGTTACAACAACTGGCGTATGCTTCTCAATAAATTGAAAGCTGTTTCCCATTTGGAGACCAAGTAAAAAGTCTCTGCCAATAAGTCCACAATTAAGGTTATATATCTTCTCAAGCATATCCACAACTCTCTCGACCCACGTTCTTTCAATGTCGACATCAAAATTTACGAACACAGCATCAAATGGTCTTGCGGGTAATTTTGGCCTTTGTTTCGAGTTAACATGATAAATGTACGACTCTTCTGCAAAAAGAGAATACACTATACAGTGGATTCAACCTTTGTGCAAAAATATTCGACATAGTTTGTCTACGCTTAACTACAAAAAAAAAATCCGAAACAATGACACATCAACGAAGATCGCAGCAATTATAATAAATATTGTTCAAGATATCCCCTCGTTTTTGGTTGCTTTTCCATGTTTTGGACTTTCACCGAACGGGAACGCTTTTTATCATTAGAAGACTATAACAACGAACCTTGGTTTATTTTGTAATGGCTTATTGAATCAAGTACATTTCAAACAGTGTGCTCCATTGTCTTCATGTCTTAAAGAAGAGAGGTTTACGTGTCAAGTCGTATCTTAACGTTCAGACTGCAGGAATTTGAGAAGGTTGACACCACAAGCAACTAATTCCGCTAACGGATAATTTGTCGCGACTTCTCGAGTAAATAATGACTAACCTATCAGTCGTCGTGAATAAGTACACTTGTGTACTCTATTATATAAAGACAATTAAAAATTAAATCGAAATGAAGTGTTTGTAAAAAAAGTTAGTTTACATTAATCTAAAAAAAGGCTGTCCTATAAAACATGTTTGATGAAAGTTAAACGGGGAGAAAGTAAATCAAGATTATAAATTAAACGCATAAAACAGGGAGACAAAAGTTGAAATATAGTCGCATAAGTTTACACTCCTATGCAAGCACATTCATTCAGTCGTACAGTGTATGCAAGTTCACTTTTAAGAGTTTTGGCTTTTTATTTGCAATTATACCATTTCGTTTTAATTTCGTGTAAGGACTTACATAATTTGTCTTGATGATAAACTATATTTCTAAACACAACTGAAAGTTCAAATAAATCAGCAGTAGATAATCGAACCATGTTGAAAGCATATTGATAATGCTCTCCAACTTCGTTCTTTATCTGGCCTTTTTTAAAACGTTTTTGATTCGAGCGTAACTGATGAGTCTTTTGTAAACGAAACGCGCGTCTGGCGTACACAAGTTTAATCCTGGTATGTATGAGTTTATTAACAACCACTGGGTCGATACGACTACTGGTGGACGTTTCCTCCTTGAGAGTTAAACCAGCCCAGTAGTCAGCACTTCTGTGTTGACATGCATCATCATTGATATGGTCATTATTATAAATTACCTGTTCACAAAACTTTGAATATTTCGAAATACTAAGGATTTTCTACCCTAGGAATAGATTACCATAGCTATTAGGCAAAGCCTTTATGTATTTAAGGTCCTGAATGCCATTCAACTTCGTACTTTTTTGGCCTTTTTATTTTCTTTTATTTACAATCACAAATGTTAACAAAACTAAGATCTTGGATACTAGTGATTTGCGACCAAGGAATAGATTACCTCACCTATTTTTGCCAAAACCTTTCGGAATTTTGTGTTTTAGATGCTCTTCATATTCGTTCTTTGTTTGACCTTGTTAAATATTTTGATAAGAGCATCAATGATGAGTCTTTGAAGACAGTACGTGCGTCTGGCGTACAAAATGTTAATCCTGGTATCTATGATGAGTTTGTTAATATTTCTTTATGCTAAAATAGAATGGGTGTTATATATCTTGCCAACTACATAAATGTAAGTGTATTGTAGGCCCATTTCCTTACGTCGTGGGGGTATTTATACATCTGTAGCTTTCGAAGGGTTTGGTTTGAGCGTTCTGATGAAGCTGAATCTGCCAAAACGCTTAAATGGTTTCATTCAGCATATCCAATTCATTAGAGAATTATTATAAAAATTACCTTCTGGTAGCTGTAAAATTTCATTAGCTTGTGTACTTTCCTCTCTGATAACGTTCTCCACCACATGATTATTCATTTGAAGAGCTAACTCGTCTACAATTGTAAAGTTGTAATTTTGAATTAACTGGTTGTTGCAATGAATCGATATCATAATTGAATAATATGTTTCGATGAGTGATAATCATCATTCAAACTTGAAGAGGATCTGAAAAGTAACGAAGTTGCGATTTTGGCGAAAAATTAAAGGGATTTTTATACAAACCCCACAATAAAAAAATGATCCCTCCTTTCAGAATTTCGAGCCATCATATTACGGACGGGACAAAAACATTTTATCAACCCCAACGTCGTTGCTTAGGGTGTGCCTAAACTATTTATCAATAAGCTGAACAAACCACATTATTTTGAAGCTATTATTGGAAATCAAGAAAATAAAAGTGAAACAAACAAAGGCTCAAAATCTGTAAACATATTTACCCTCTGATTTCTGTACAATTTCATTAGCGTGAGTACTTTCCTCTTTGATAACGTATTTTTCACCCTGACTATTCCTATGAGGAGCTAATTCGTCTATAAATGTAAAATTGTGATTGTGAATTAACTGTTCATAGCAATTTATCAATATCATAACTGTTTTTTTTTTATAGAAAAAAAACCCCCACTTTTTGATTAAATGTCTCGATGTCATCATCATTCAAACTAGAAGATGATCTGTAAAATAGATAAGTTACTATTTCGTCGAAGAAAAGGGATATGTATTGAAACCCCACAATCGAAAATATCGCGTTTCGAAAACTTATGTCTAATTAGAGATGCTCGAGTCCAAAATTTTTGAAAACCGAAACCTTAAAGAAACGTTGCAGAGCTACTATTATAAATAAGACCAAACATATTGCCATACCCGGACAAGAAATCAAAGCTATTTACAAGGGAGAAACATTCCGCAATTGAAAATGATTTCCTTAGTGACAACAGCACATTTCAATTGACCATATCTTTGTATTCATGTCATTTATTTTCATCCTCGATTTTGATGAGTGAAAACTTCATTGAAAATTGAAGAGAATTTGATAAAAAATAAAGGAACTATCAAAATGACTAGAATGCACATGGGATATTGTAACAAGTCCCTCTTCCTTAATAAATACCCCCAAGCAAAAGGGTCCACCTTTTAACATTTATTTTGTTATGGAATTCATTCAATGTTTTGCTTGATGAGGGGACACCTTTTTACATATTTGAAGAAGGTCTCAGAAAAAATGAAAGCTCAGTTGGCAACAAGAACTAATATGCGATATTTATACCCTCCCACCAATGTATCTCATTCAGATTTTCCGGTTCATCAAACTCCCACATAGTTTAGGTCAGTTGAAATTTTCATTCAAATTGGATGAGGATAAATAAAAAATGAAAACTTTTCAAGGCGACAAGAATTAATAAAGAATACTTTAACAAGTCTCCCTCCTCAAAAATTGTTGGTTTTGCTGGGTGGAAACCTTAATTCCAATTTTAACAGGATCTGGCAATTAATAAAGGCGCTAGCATGGCAGAAAAAAAGATGAAGAATGACTTAATGATCGAATAGACTTAAGAACGGAACAGCAACTATTACATACCACAACGTCGTTACTTAGCGTGTAACTAAACTATTCATCTAAGAGCTCAACAAACCACATTGTTTTGAAATTTATTACTGGAGATCAAGAAATTAAAAGTGAAACATACAAATGCTCAACATTTGTTAGCATATTACCCTCTGATTTCTGGTCAATTCCATTAGCTTGTGTACTTTCCTCTCCGATAACGTGTTTTTCTCCATGATTATTCATTTGAAGAGCTATTTCGTCTGCAATTGTAAAATGTAATTATAAATTAAAGGTTAAAAGCAACTAATCAATATCATAACTAAGATTTATTGATATGGAATTCTAAAATAATATAAGTTTTAGATGTTTCGAAGAGTGGATATCATTAAAACTTGAAGATGATCTGAAAAGAAGTTTAGTTACTATTTAGTCTAAAACAAGGGGTATTTATACAAACCCCACAATTGAAAAACAAATGGTCCATGATTTCAGATTTTTTGGATTATCGAGTCATCGCATTAAACGGTATTCATTTTACCACTTCAGATACACGGCTTGAAAATGTATGTCTCATCGGAGATGCTCAAGACCACAATTTTGAAAACCAAATCTTATAGAAACGTTATAGAGGTGATGTTATTAAAACGGATCAAAAGTATTACCAAATTCTGAACAAGAAATCAAAGCTACACATGAGGGAGATACATCCCTTGTTGCAAATGATTTCTTTAGTTTGCAAATTGCAATAAAACAATACCCTTATATTTATTTTTAACCACGGCTTTTATGAGTGGAAACTGCATTGAAAGTTGAGGAGTATTTGATAAAATGAGACAAGAATGTATATGTATATGGATTTCCGTGTTATTAAAAAACTCTTCCGTGACTTCGGTAAGTGGAAATTTTCGTTCAATTTGATAAGTATATAAAAACAGAATGACAATCGGATGGACACCGGACGGACAGAAAACATTTTACCAACCACACTGTCGTTGCTTGGGATTTAACTATATCATTAATCAATTAATTCAACATACCACCTTATTTCATCTTGCAATATATAATCAATTTCAAATATACAGACTAGATTGAAAGCAAAGAAATGAAAGTAAAACAATTTAAGGCTCAACATTTGTAAAAATATTTACCTTCTGATTTCTGTATAATATCATTAGCTTGAGTACTTTCTTTCCCTATAATGTATTTAACTCCCTGATTGTTTATTTGAGGAGCTAATTCTTCTGTAATTGTGAAATTAAAATTGTTTATAACAACTTATCAATGATATAACTGATTTATTTTTCTTATATGGACTTCTAAAAAGACCCATGGGTCAGATGTTTCGATGTATGGAAATCATCATTTAAACTTGAAGAGGATTTAAAAAATAGTTCAGTTGCAATTTTGGCGAACAAAAGGGATATTTACTCATACCCAATAATCGTAAAACATTACCCCACATTTCAAACATAACATCCAATGGATTTAGTGTAAAGACGTCATTAACAGCTTATTAAACGGTTTAGGAAAAAGAATGATTTCTTTAGCAAACGTTCTTCTTATAAAAATTTACATTCCTTACCAGGATAAAATTAATAAACATGTTGTAAAAATGTAAATGTGTAACAAAAGTGGATCTTATATTCATTATTCATTTATTGCTTCATAAGCCTCAATCGCAATTTATGGCCAAAATAAAACAGACCATTCGAGCTTTGCTTTATTAAAAAAGCTTAGTGACAACTACGATTATCTTTGTGATACAGTTTCCTTTGAATATTATTAAATCTGTTTTTTAGCACTTGTGTAGGTTTGAAGTTACTTGGGATTCTTGTGAAGGAAAGTGGAAAATCAAAACGACCAACTTTGTTTTTGGCTGTCAAATTCGATTATCTTATTGATATTATCTGTTGAATATTGCAGTTATCACATATATATGATAAGCAAACACATACTCAAGGATATTGACTTAATACGTGTACCCTTTCGTACTTGAGTAATTTTAGGAAACAGAAGTTTAAAATATATAAATCTATTAAGATGATACAAATTAAGATCACAAACAAAAGCTGGTTAAAACATGAACCCCCAAAGGAAAGAGACCAATTGTGTCGACAGCGTAAGCGTCCAATGATATGCATGCAACATCCGCCACGCGATACACTCTTAAGTTGAAATGTCAGAATCGAAGTAATTACAGATGATACGACTGTTGGTATTGAGAATGTCTCAATATTGAGTACATTGGTACATAAATAACCCATTATCAGTATTTGCCTTTTAGACGATTTCACATTGTTAAGTAGCTCAGTTATGACATAATGGTTCCTTGTACTTTTCTTACTTAAATGTTGACATTGTGAAATTATCAAGTAAATGACGTCTGAGGTGCAGTGATTGGTATTGTAGTCAATGGTTGAAGATTATAGTAGATCATCTATGTTACTTGGTGTTCGTATAATCCTTAAATGAAAGCCGGCATTTAAGGGGTCGGTATTCCGTTTTCAATGTACTTTCTGAAGATAATGTTGACTTAAGTAACTGTCCAATGGGTTGATTCAGTATGTTCTGATGGCTTAATGTCATACACCGGCGAAAGCTACGTGTCAAAACATATTCTCAGTGCTTGAATTCAGGAATTTGAGAACGCCGACACTACAAAGAATCTATAAAAGGCTGTCCTGTAACGCCAATTTAGAAAAAAAAGATATTTCGGGTACACATTACATTTCAATCAGCTACTTAAAGCATAAAATGGGATGACAATGTATTATTATATTCACTGCAATACATGCTCCTATAAAAGCACTCTTGGTGAATCGTAAAGAGTGTAAATATGTCCTTTCTTTGTTTTTTAGTTTGTACTCTCAACATACCTGAATATGTTTCTGTTTTGTGTGTAAGGACAATTATCGTTTGTATTTCTTAAATGAATTTAGATTTCGAAGATATTATCAAACCTGTTGCAGTCATTTTATGTATCTTTATGCTTACAAAATACAACTATGGAGGTTGTACATCTGGCCGAATCTGTTTGTGTTTTCATCATATATTCATGATGGATTTAAGAAAATATTTACCTTCTGATTCTTGTACAATTTTGTTAGTCTGATCATTTTCCATTCCGATAACGTGCTTCTCGACCTGAGTATGAATTTCTGGACCCGTCGCAACTGTAACAGTTAAATTGTAATTATAAATGAACTATTCATAGTAACTCATCAATATTAAGATCGCTACTTTTGGATAGCTTTGGTCTTTTTAAATTTTCAGACACGTTTTTTGTCATAGATGTTGTATTTGAGCCACAAAGTCAAATACATTGATTTCATCTTGTTTCGAGAAAACATGAATTGACATATTACAAGTCTGTCATTTCTTAACTTAGAACAGTCCCAAATTTTTCATTAAAATACAGAACTTTACTTCTCTGAGTTATCATAATACTTAATTAAACTTCTGTAAATCACAAAAAGACTTGTTTATGTCTCAGATCTAGGTTCCAGAGGTGTCTGATCACAAAATAACCGACCTATAAATATAATTCTATTTATTTATTTATGATCACCATACATTGTAACTTTGATACTATTTTTTTAAAGATGAATTAAATTATTTCGTTTTATCTCCTGGTTGAGTTTTGTGACAGAATTACTCTGAATTTCAGGCTTTAAATATGAATACTGGTTAATAAGAAAGGAAGAAGTGATTTTTTTTGTATATTGTTCTAGTATGTTAAACTATATTTGCAGTTGGGAACTATTTGCAAATTAAAGTAATTTTCGAATGCACATAAAAACCCAATACCAACTATACTTGGAAGCTATTTGCAAAGTAATGTCAGAATCAAGGTGAGAACCAAATATCACCTATTCCTCGAAACTACAGGAACGTACTGTCAGAATCACTATAAGAACCAAAGATAAACAATATTTAATATGGTCTTTTACAAGTTAGAGGTTTCGCTAGCTATAAAACCAGGTTTAATCCACCATCTTCTACATAAGGAAATGCCTGTACCAAGCCAGGAATATGACAGTTGTTTTCCATTTGTTTTATGTGTTTGAGCTTTTGATTTTGCCATTTGATAAAGGACTTTCCGTTTTGAATTTCCTTGGAGTTCGGTATGTTTGTTATTTTACTTTTTACAACACTCGAAGATATTTTGAAAAAAAAAGAAATGTTATAAAATCTATTAAGAGATGTTTTTAATTATTTTCTTGCTCTCTGTTGTGAATTTTGCTTCATAAATATACTGCAATATCTTCATTGATTTAAGAATAATAAGCGGAAGAGAATTGCTTATTTCGGAAGTCATATTAGCACATGTGAGTTGTGTGAAATGCTCTTGCATGTCCCACATCTGTAACCTCATTCGACAACTGACCATTACGACAACTTGAAACATTTCTATCATTTGGGATTTGTTGTTCATCTTTATGCCAGTCAGTAGCAGTTTCTAAAGTCTGTTATGGATAAAAGGATATGTATTTTAAGTTCACTAATACAATAACAAAAAACAAAACAGAAATAATACATATACGTTAGTCGAAATCAACTGTGACAGTTGGGAATTGGGTTTATAGGGTTTACATGTATAATATGGTGTTTCGCTGTTTTACAAACTCATCATCAATCACCATGATTAAAATTATTTACATCAGGTAATTGGTTTACAAATCAAACATAAACTTAATCCTAACAAGCTTCCAGGAAATGATACATTTTGATTTATTTTTACCCTAATTATGACTTGATAACTATTAAATATTTTTCGCAAATGTTTCTAAGAATAGAAATGGGAACAATCTAATGCCTGACAGTTTTAAACATATATCCGATTTTAGGATTGGAGAATTGCTACATTTTGAATTATGCTTGATAAATCTTCTAAATTCAATCTACCATATGGAAATAAACGTTTATAAAACCCTCTAAAGATTACTTATCTGACGGAAAAAATGATCAATCAAATTTTTCATATTTTATAAGCGTAGCATGTATGAGTAAAATGATATGCAGAATATATATAAAAGAGACAATTACCCAACAACTTAAAAAACTCAAACATGTATTAAAGAATATGTAGTCACAGTTGGAAAAAAGTGGAAAATATCCTGATACTTCTCGTTTGTATTTAAGATATGATAGGTAACACTGTTTGCTTGTGAGCGTTTTATTTTGAAAAAAATACATATTTCATTATGTAGTGTTGTTAAGTAGGATTTGCCAAACGCAGTTATCATTGTTGAAAGGCAAATCAATATTTTTTAAAGTACACCAGCAAATCTGCTTATTAGCCATTGTCAAAATTGATTCATTGGGTCTTACAGATATGACAACTGTCTTATACTCAAGGTCTACGTTGAACCTCAAATCAAATATATCATAAAATAATAAAAGATTGGCTCATGCAGATTTGATAAAATGTTAGGCCGAAGGCAATTTTCATTTACAATGTCACAACGATGCATGAAAGTCCTTTTGTAGAATATATAGATTGGTTAATTGTTGCTTGCTGAATATCCAATGGTAAATATTTTATGCATATTAAGGACGAAAACATATTAATGATCAATACAATAGGTAGGTTATACACAAGAAGGTAGGAAATTTGAACCGTCACTGGTTACTGAAGGTATGTTTGATATTTCCAGAATTTCCAGTTCCAACTGGGCGAAGCTGCTGATTTATTTATCCAGCAGTACGGAGACTCTACTTTAACTAGAGGTTTGAATAAGTCTATGGATAACCGCTATTCCTAGACTAGTTGGGTAATATACTATATAAATAACACATAGCTGAGAGGATGATAGAGCAAATTGTTACCCCGAGAAAATATTGTCAACTGAGGCAAAGCCAAGGTTGACAATTTCTTTTCGAGAGGTAACAAACTGCTTTATTACCCTCTCAGATATGTTTTATTTAATTTATTATACAGAATGTTCTGTTATAACTGTCTATTAAATTTTAAATTCAAAGCAATAAACTATGACGTCTTGTACATAACAACCATCCGTATTTAATAAAGCGCACAAGTAATCAAGCGTCTCCGTGAAGGGTAACAGAATATTTGCCATGGGATAGAGTAATTGATCTCCCTCGTATTAACCAATTAAAATCTGGCATTTTGATATAAAGTATACTAAAATGTATTAGTCTTTCTGAGGGACATGTCGACACGAGGATGAATGTTTAGTAAGGTATTGTCCTCGGAATAGTAATGCAGTCGAACAGTTTATTTCATCTGGTGATTCGGGATGAGATGCTCTGAGTATACTCCTTTATGTACTCAAAATTAGAAATTAGAGTAGAGAATACAGCGTACACGAAACTATGCCAAAACAACAGTACACAAAACACAACATAGCAAACTAAAAGACTGAGCAACACGAACACTACCAAAAAAAGCAAAAACCAGGGGTGATATCAGGTACTCCGGAAGGGAAGGCAGATTCTGCTACACAAAAGTCGACCATTTCAACTTTGTAGACCCTTGCAAGGCTGTTAGATGTTGAAACATATAGGTTTAGCCTCTTCGCGTTTGTGAAGATCTAACGTCATATCATCAGCAATAAGTTGAGCATTAACCACTCAATTATAAAACATTTGCCATATTCACAGGAAAACAAACGCTGTATCCGCTTTCCCACCATGTTAAAGGATTACATTGTAACTGTTTTGTATAATATAGTATCACTTTGTATTTTGTAAATTAGCATAATTAGGACTGATTCTCAGTTGTTTCGTTGTTTTTTGCAGCACCAATACAGACAAATAATATTATAAACTAAGACATACATTGTTAGCTTTGAATTTACCTTTTAAACTTTGTAGATCTTCTCTAGACTGAGAGATGTTGGAACATAACGGTGTAGCCTCTTCTTGCCTGTGAAGAACTGGTTTCATATCTGCAATAAATTGAGAATAAACAACTAATTTTGTACGACATGTGTTATATTTGCAGAAAATAACCCAAAGATTGTTTTCGCTTTTCCACCTTGATAACAATAGCTGTTTTATATAATTTGATACTGTAACGCTTCGTATTAAACAATGCCACCCATATTTGAAAATTGGCATTTTAACACTTACACAGATAGCTAGTATTTTTTTAATTACCTTTTATCATATTTATGCCTTGTCCTAACAAAATTCTAAAATCTATTGGTAAATATTAACGTAACGAATATCATCACTTCCACAACGCCATAGCGTTGATATACAAAGAAAGATTTGATTATTTAGCAGATCGTTTGTTTCTTTTTTCCAACGAAGCTAGTTAAATTACTCTATGTGTAGCAGTGAAGAAATTAAGTATTATCAAGAAAACGTCAAACATTGTTTCCTGCATTTCAACTGTTTTGATAATAGAGTTTAGGACGGCATAAGTTTATGTAATGTTTTTTTTTTAGAAAAATCCCCGAAACGGCCAAATGTGAAACACTTCAAGAGAGAAAAACAACGGCCTGATTTACAATGTATTCAAAAATAATAACCGAAAAACAAATATAGTCGATAGCAACCAACGACAACCACTAGATAACAGGTTTTGTGTAAGTACAAAACTAATGTGGTGGGGATAAACATGTTAGTAAATGCTCAATCATGTGCTTTTGCCTAAGTCAAGAACATTGTAAGATGTTGTCTTTTATTTGTGCTATTTCTTATTAGATTTATTCACAACATTTTTTTAAGACACCCGTAGACCTACAGCTTGCAACTGTATACAAAAACTATATTTCAGAAGAGGCTGTATGTATATCTCTATACGCCTTCTGATCCTTTTGTCGTTGTGATTCTGTCTGGTTGATATACACCCACGTTTCTATTTAAGTTAATTACCATCGTAAGTTTTCCGTTGAACTTTTAAGTGACGTCCATTGTACATGTTTTGAAAATATCAGATAATTCGAGGAAAAAAACCCGAATTGCTTAATTTTTATAAAACCATATTTTATATCATGAACGATGTAGTTAATAGCAAAGAAGCAATATAATATATTATGTTAACAGGACGAAAGAAACCGATTTTCATTTGATTAAAACAAATCAACATATTGACCGTTTTTTTAATGTTTGGATTGAAATGTTAAGATTTGAGCAGTCCTGAAGGTAAATGCTAAACACCGCTTCGTATGCATATAATTCATAAAGTGTAATTGTCATATACTTGTTTCAATCACATTTGTTGTCACTTGAATCTTTAAATGTGGAAAACTAAAGATGAGTAAATGGTGTTTTGCTTCTTTCTCAATTTCGAAGTGCATAAAACAATTAACTCGAAAGGATGTTCATGAATTGGAGATGCATTTTCTTTTTTCACAAATTAAATATAAAAATTATGATAATGATATTTCTTACTGTGCTTGGTCCTTGATTTCTTGCACACAACAATCACTGCAACCACAGTTATAAAAACTATCACAAGTAGACAAATTCCTATCAACGGTCCTGGAAAACAAAAAACATATTCACAGAATACCGTGTATGCAGGTTTTAGATAAGTATGGACTAGCAACTTTATCAAACTTTATTATGATGGAAACGCATCAAATCAAACAAATAACATAAATTAAAAAGTAAAACAAGATGACACAACATATTTTAATAAAGAAATAATGGATTTCTTATGTCCGATATTACTTTCAAAGCAGAACAGGTAAAACCAATGCTGTAAAAGATTATGTGATACTGATATTAGTTTTATAACGGAAGGATTAAGAGTACCTACATTAGAAACGATAATTTAATTGCACAATTTGTCCATGTGAATTGTAGTTTAGAAGACTACACTAAGAACACTTTCGAAAAGGAAAGATTCTCATTTATTAAAGAAGATGTGGTATGATTGCCAAAAGTCATAGTGAGGCCTTCAACAAGGAACAAAAATTCTCATCTCACTGCAAGTTTAAGATGGCCATTAACGCCGGTTTGAGCAGAATTCATTGCAAACTGACGATCACTACACAAATGTGAATTGAAGATGTAACCCATGGAGTAATATCAATAAAATGAATCTGGTAAAGAAATCAAACATTGACTGTTATAATTTAGCCCGACAATCACAATGAAGCGTGCAAAAACAATACGAGCATTAAGACAACCACGGGGAACATCGATATATATATGTGTTAGATAACTAGGAAGGAAATAAAGTATGTATAGGAAAATAATCAGGGTAGACTTTGTAAGTTGTAACACCATTAGCTCGGGCCCGGTTAAAAAAAACATACCGGAAAGTAGTACATATTTAAAACAAATAGTTCCTACGCATAGATGTAGATATCAAACTATAAGAATATGTATTGGTCGTTTATCAATAAAAGTAACATTATAATGGAAAGCTGGAATACTTTACTTTTTTTTAATTTCAAGGGCTAAATACTGACTCTGATCATATCTTATCATTTAATATGAAATTATCGTTTACTATCCGTCGTTTGTAATATATATATAATGTTTTCATGATAACGGATACAATGCCACGACGAATGAGTTCTGAAAATGATGCCATTATGAAACAAACCATAAAGGTTACCAGTTCGAATGTTAATGTCGTAGCATAAATGAGTATTGCTAACATCAATGAAAGAGAGATTCTAGAAAACAAAAAGGGAAAAACATTACTTTAAAAAATAAGGAGGTGAGGTGTGAAATGCAAATGAGATATCTATCCACAAAAAACTAAGGAACAATGACAACTACATGTTATCGTATGACATTCATCAATGTGCAAACTACATACTGTAAAGTTAGCGATACAATATGCCGGAATATAACAAAATATGAAACAAAAGAAAATCACTGTCTGAATTAAACTAATGATAATATTGAATTAAATGCAATCACTATGGTAATAAGTTATGATCAACAGCAACTTGACTACAGGTTCCTTAACAATTCGTTTAAACACTCAATCATAACACTTATCTGGGACAATGTGTAACAGTACAACATTATATCACATAATAAAAACAATTGACAAGAGTGCGACTAAACTGACTGGTACTGAACATAAAACACATTTAACAAAATGACAAAAGACACATATAGCCAATTTAAGAGAACTCGGGGTTACTCAAAAAAAGTTTTAGTCCTATCTTAACTAATAAATTGACCATGTTTTCTTTGATGAAAATACGAATAAGAAAATCTCCATTGGTAAGGCGTTATCAATAGTTTCAGAAAAGCACACCTCTGTGAAATGCAAAATATATGTATCGACATAATGCCAAGTCATATGTGTTTATGAATGTATATCAACATCAGTTTATAAATTAGTACGTATCAAATGATTGATAAAAAAAAAGAAACTAATACAATGTGAAATTGATCATTTTAAATAAATCTGTTCTTATGGACAATAGGTTAACATCAATCATATCATAATCAAAGAGCTGTATAAACAACATATTTGTTATAATAAGGATGCTTTGTCCGTTTGTAGCAAAAAAAGGCAGCTACAAAATAAGTTATTTGACAACGTAGTAGTAGTAGTAGTAGTAGTAGTAGTAGTAGTAGTAGTAGTAGTAGTAGTAATCGAAAGCAATTTTGAAAAGAATATACAGCAACAATTCATGATTAAGATCATTTAAAAGTTTGTTGCAATTATGAATGTTAAATATTTGATAACGGATGAATATGGACAATTGGTGGTGACAGAGACTTTCGTTTCTGTATGAAATGACTAAGATTTAACACAAGCAGCCACACTATTTTCGAAAATCCTCATCAAAGTTTGAAACGTTTGTAAAAAAGAAAGATAACACTTAAGTTATTTAATGCTTCCGAAGAAGCGATTTTCTGGAATAACCTTCATATGGAAAGCTCAATGCCGAATATTTGAAAGTCAAGGATGTATAAGATCCGAAACAGTACAAAAAATCTGTATGACCAAATAAGGACCTAAAAATAATAGCCAAATCCATGAAAGTTTAACTTTGCCTGAGAGAGATGAAACCTCAGTTTTTTAAAATATTTTCTAAATCTATAAATGGACAATATTAGAATAGTTTGTTATAAAGCATGTCAGTACTAGGCTTATGAAGAGTTTAGTTGAAATACTGCGTTGCAGCACATTTTACTTACAGCTGACAAACATGAAAAAAAGGACAAGAAAATGTTTATCAAAGATGTATTTTTTTTTCGTCTAAATTTGCCTAAACTATTCAAAGGTGGACTAGTTTAGTATGTTTGACAGCACAGTTCCTGATCACAGCTAGATCGCAGATGCTTTAGACAACCAACCGGCAAACTTCGTTTTTATGCTAGACAGACATGATTATGGGAGTTTTTAACGACCTTGAATGGCTATACATCCCTAGACAGACAAACCAATCAGGAAACGTAGAATTAAGGTAACATGAATCATATTTACCCAAATGGCTTTGTCATGTAATCAGGTACAAAATTAGTTATACAATCATGTGAAATAAAAGATAATTTACAATCATAAAACATGACGTATATCAAACAATCGAAAAACAACAATATGAACCTAAATTTAAATCACTCTGGTGTACATTTAGGCTTCAGAAATGTGAGTTAAGAATTGCATCTTTGAATTGCAGATACTAGGAAACATTTTACTATTATGTGACGAAACGATGATGACAGAAAAGTAAAGTAACTTCAATCTAGACGGAGTTCACTTTGGCTAACATAATATCAGCAAGCTTTTAAGTTCAGATCTTTAATACCGAGAAATATACAGTTTGCACGATGCAAAATGCTATCTAGGGCAGAATGGTAGTATTTAATAATAAAATAGTGATTTTGATCACAATTTACATTTGAGTACAACATGTAGAATGTGATATAAGGATAAATCTATGAGAAAAGACCCATCCCCGTTTTTCAGTTAAATAACTCTGACTTACACTTGAGAGATACAGGTTAAACCCTCAGACACTGACTATGCATACGCTTGTAAACGTTATTTACATGTATGAATCGATACTTAGGTTCATTACTGCCTCATACTTAACGTTTACATTTCATTCATCAGTTTAATGTACCGCCCATAGCGTTGATATTCTAATATGCACCATAATTCACATATGTGTAACTTTAAATTCATAAAACATTTTTGAGTCTACCTGTAAAATCTTTTCCAGCATAGTCTTTTGTCTTATTACTATTTTCAGATGAATTCTTCTTATTTGTTTTTGTTTCTTTAGAGTGAACGTCTAATAATGGAAAAAAAATTACATCAATGAATTACACCAGATGCAAATAAAACATGATCGATTTGAAACCGTAATTATCATCACAATAATATGCGACAAATTGCTCGTTCATAGGTAGTGTATACACACACAGAAATATATTGATTTTTTTTGTATTGGTAACGATACAGAAATTTGAAGGTAAATTAAGGAAGAATGCCATGTTGAACTTGAAGCAAATAACGATATTCCGAGACGTGATTGATTGCTCTCCTTTCAAGTTTAGTAACACTTTTGTCGTAGTTACTTGAAAGCACTTTGTTGTTTGTTAATATCCGTTAAAGCATGTAATTACTTTTGCTTAACACTGGTAACCTAAAATCAATAATTTATCAACCAATTAAGTATGGCATTTAAAATTTTATCGATGGTACCTAGCATTTACAAATTTGGCTTCTTAACCGTGGTTTTAGGCCTTATAGGTTACTGATATTACAAACACATATTATGTGGATTGCTTTAAATTTAACTTTTATTCAGTTTAGTAATTTCTAAATTTTTACCTTTGTTTACTGTTTAATTGTTCATTCAGGAGACAGAGCTAAGTTCATATATTCAGAAACTCTAGTAATCTTACTTGAAAACCTACGGTTAAATAAGGCGTAAATGTGTATATTTTTGACCGGAAAATTGCTTTTATTAAAAGACGACACTTTAGTATTTTTCCAACTATATTTTTGATTCTGTGTTATTTAAGTTGCTCTGATTGGTATCCCGATATCGGTATTATTATTATATATATCGTTCATATTTCAATATTTCCATACTATTTAGCCTTGTTTATGTTAAATTGAACTTGATTCGTTTTGTTCATTTGATACAAAGATGCAATATTTGAAAAACATCATGTCACCATTTTAGTTCAGAAGATAAAGATTTTACCTCCATATGTTAATTGAAATTTGAGACCGAAGAAAACCCAGAGAAGAACGGACCCTTGTTGACTCTCTTTCTTAACGAAACTTGTTTCTTACCTGTTCCATCGTAAAATAAGGTTGCATATTTTGAAAACCATGACGTTACAGTTCTGTCCACAAACATCATATCGCATGAAAAATTTACAGTTTCTCTGGTATTTTTTAGATGAAATGAACGGGAAAACTCGTTTCCAGATGGACTACATGAGCAAATTTCAGGATTGCACTCTCCTGCTTGATGTGTACATTTGCCTGTTGTAGAATTCAGCGTTAAGCTGTCTTCTGATCTATCATTGATAAGGAACTCAACATTCTTTCCATAAGGTGCTCTACAGGCAAAACATCTCACTGTGACTTTAGAAATATTAACCTCGCCTGTGATATATATATCTGTAGATCCTATAAAACCTATAAAACAGGTAAAGTGAGATATTTATAAGGAATACAGAATAAGTGATGGTACCCCAGTGATATAATCTCATTTGTCCCTTTAAACAGATACAATAATTCCTACATCTTTTTCATCACACGGAGGCAAAACATTACGATATTAAAGACAATACAATAGTCTTAGTTTATATCTATCATCAGACCACAAAGACGAAAGGACAAAGTGCATGATTACTTTTGTTTTCATATTCTAGTAAATCATTATTATTATTATTATTTACAGTGCTTATATAGCGCTTATCTTAATAAACATTTAAAAATCATCGTCCCGTTTTGTTAGAAATATACACATGTGTGTAGCGTATACGCATCACAGTTGGAAAGCTTCAAAAGAAACAAACTGCTGTCAACTGCAGAAACTTAATCGAAAAAAAACAATCGTTTTCGATATTTGATTGCCATTCTACAAAGCTATTACATAATGATTTAAAAAGAGACAAATATGTGAAGAGCATGGTAAAAAAAAACCATGTCAACGTACTGATTCTTGGTATCAATTTAGTCTTAAAAGTTATCAATTAAACACTGCAGTAAGATCTTAAACGGTTATTTCATTAATTTTTTTTATGAAATAAATATGAATTGCGAACTGCTGGAAACACTTATGATATTTTATCCTTTTCTCAGAATGTTTATGACCTTTTTACACTTAAACTGTGGCATGTGTACTGATTGATATTCTAGTCGAATAAAACATGATTTATGAATAAGTTGTAATAGGCTTTAAACTAGCTTTCAGTTACTGGAAACAATTTAAGAACGGTTCGGTGCGTCATTTGCTTTTTGGTAGTTGTTTTTGTTTGTGAGTGGTTGTTGTCTGACGAGGCACGCTCTTTATACCTGCTTTTTACAGGTTGTGCTTTTGATTTTCAAATACACCACTGACCAAGTTTGGGAATGTTGAGCGCTCATAGATATGTTTAATTACATCAACTTAATTGCTTACGTGACCAAAGCAAGGAGCTTGTAATTCAGTTGTAGTTGTTAGTTGCTGTATGCAATTTTTGTTCCATAGTTTTTAAAAAAATAAGGCCGTTTGTGTTCTAGTTTGAAATGACTTACATTTTGATTGCTATACATTATGGGGTCTGCTCTTTGATGAGGACCGCATTGTTACCTTATAGTACATTACATCTACGTCCTTCGGTCTCTGGAGGATATTTGTCTCATTGAAATCATATTCCATCTTCTTTTTAATTGCTAGTTTGGTTGAGGAATCACATATCCCATACGATATATCTGATGGAACCAAGTGTTAAAAAGAATCACGAGGAAGTGAAAAGTAAATTTAACTTTTATGACAAAACAATTCAGTAATTTGAACTTAGACAACCAAACGTATAATCAAGTTTCCCACCAACACAGAATTAAAAAAAAATGTATATACATGTTTCCTATTAGAACCAAGATAATAAGGAACATTTCAAAAACACACTTTCATTTTTTATGTCTATCAATTTGAATTTTTTTTTATATCAGCTGGTGATAAAAGTCTTCATAGAAAATACATTTGTTCCAGATTATTCAATCAAATCACTATTTCATAAATAACCTATATTCTATATAACAGATACCAAAAATGAAAATACCAAATAAAAGTTACCGTTTTATAGCAATCCTCTGTTCAGTTTTTTGTCACACTGCTCACACATTTTATATTACAAACGTAAAGATAACATAAACAAAATGGTATCAATGCATTTATCAGTAAATATATTCCATATAAATGTTTTCCCTAGAAAAATTTCGTAAGTGTGACACTTGTCTTTGAATATCAACCAATTTATGATATAACAATCAATATCTTCTTCATATAGCAGAAGTTGATGTGCCAATAACAGAATAACAACTGTGATGATTTAAATATCATAGCTACCACACAATGTTTTTGATGTCAGAAATCTGACACGTATTCATCCTCGAGATACTAAAATGACATAGAAGTTTACAACTATAGGTCACCATACGGCCTTCAAAAATGAGTAAAACCCATACCGCACAGTCAGCTATAAAAGTCCCCGAACTAAGAAATGTGAAACAATTCAAACGAAAAAATAACGGCCTGATTTATGTACAAAACAATGTACGAAAAACAAATATGATATACAGACTTAATCGACAACCACTGAGTAAAAGGCTCCTGACTTGGGACAGGCACATACAGAATGTGGCGGGGATAAACTAGTTTTTTTGGCGCAAAACCCTCCCCCAAACCTTGGACAGTGGTGTAACAGTACAACATAAGAACTATAAAAATAAGTTGAAAAAGGCTGAACTCATCAGACCGATACAAAGAAGAAAAACATCTAACAAAAACACAGACCGCACGTGGCAGGGTATTTATACATCCCACAACAAAAAAGAAACTAAGTACAGATCTAGGAGTACTCACAGTTACTGACAGCTATTTCATAGCCATTTACAACTAATAAAAAAATCATGCATCTAAGACTTAAATATCAATCAGTACACATCCAACATCCAATTTTTCAAATGTTGTGTTCATCTTTGTAATCGATATAACTGAGTTTGTTTACGGATTGGTTTGTTTGTAGGCATGTCAACTGTGTCTGCTGTTCCTGTGTGCGCTCGATGTTGTACCTAAATACTCGTTCAAAACAAAAACACTAATATCCTTTGTACAACATGTTGCATCCTGTCGATTGTGAATGCAATCTCTTTATATTGATGTTTTTTTCATATTTGGATACCTTGAGGTTTTTTGGTTTTATTCACACTCCGGCTAGACTTATTTTGTTTTTAGCCGATGAGAGGAATTGTTGCAAACAGTATCTTATCTCAGGCTTTAATAGGGTTTTGTGCTTGTTATTGTTGTAAAAACGGTGGAGTACGGGCATGTAAGATTCCTATGCTTTAAGCAGTCTATCTCCTTTTCTTCTCTTGATATGTTATAACATAAATTATGCTTACTACCCTGATAGCCGTGAATATCATATCACATGATTTATAAATACAATAGATAAGAGGAAGAGGTAATCGGTAGGTTTTTAGGTCTCATTGTGTCTGCACTTTCGAAAGTTTGTCCGTACGTTAATTCTCTTAAGCTAATCACCGTAGTAACTAGTAGTTTATAACTCTCCTTATCTAAATCAAAATTAAACATCCGTTATTGTTTCAATTTGACCTAAAACATTCCAAGAGCTAATAGCTAAACTTTGACCTTGTCATTTCCGCAAACGTAGGACGGAGCATTTTAAAACAGGCTACCAAATGACTTTTTTTTATTAATAAAAACGTTCACATATAGTGAATCATTGATACATGATACAATTGTGTACCTCTTTTTTTATTTTTGTTTCTATATCAAAATAAGATAAAAGGTATGCAGCATTGAATACCAGAAACTCAAAATAAACCATGGGCTGGATTTTAATGATTCTTTCATTGAATTATCTAAAGCCTTAGACGCAATCAACTTATCAACTGATTCCTTCACCTGACATGTTTGGGGTTTTCCTATAGAAGATCACGGACTTCCATTTCTTAAGTTAACGATTACATGGAATTAAAAAAAGTGTCAACTTTAACAATGGTAAATGGAAACATCCAAATATTGTTTATCGAGTATACAAAAACATTAACAAATTTAAGTCTTAAATTAAGTTATTACCAATTTATTTACTCTCAATCGCATACTACAATACATTATATGTTATCTCTGTTACCTTACCATTTGTTAATGAAACAGTTGTGCTAAATGTCTTGCCTCCTTGTGAAATATACCATGTTCCGTCCACGTCCTTACTCTTAACGTCTTCTATCGTGAATATGATCTCGTTCCTGTTTATGTTTGGATTGATCACTCCAAACATTGGTATATGGTGACAATGATATGTCGTCTTTTCGAAACTGCACATTGTTTCGTTTCCATTGTTATCTTTTAAAGATACTGGTTTTAAAAAATCATCAGTTCTATAGATTAGATTCAAGTCATCTTGAATGACGTCCCAGGTGATGCAGTTGAAAGCAACGGCCTTGCAAACTAACCATGCTAAATAAACTGAAAGTGTGGTAAAGTGGTATTTTAGGATATTTGTATTTTATATTTGAATTTTGATTATATTCTTTACTTAAGCACTTATTAGTTAATTTACTTAAGCACTTATCAGTGAAACTTATTTAGTCACTTCTTAGTGAAAATTATCTTAGTTTATTCTTCATTATTTACATTTTGGTTATTGCTTACTTTACTTATCATTTTCTTTTCAGAATATTTAGTTTATTATTATCAAATTTGAGTGAAAACTTTATTTCATTTTCTCACTATTGAGTAAATTTTTGTTTTCCTATATCACTTTTGAGTGAAATTTTGTTTTCTTTATTCATTTTCTTTATTCATTTTTATTTATAAATCACTTATAAGTGAAACACATATCAACAGGGCGGAACCAGAAGCAATTGCACCTGAAGATATTGCTCTGTTGAAATTATTGAAGAAAGAGGTAGGAGAACACCCAGAAGATATCAAAGAATGGATGATGAAATGTTTGGCTGCTAAAGGTGAGGAGGCTAAAGCTAAAGTGCAAGATGAACCATCCAAACATACCAAGTACAGAGATCCACCCAGGATATCCAACTTCTCTGGAAACAACACCAAAGGTGAAACCAGCTATGAACTTTGGAGATATGAAGGTACTGGATTGATGGCTGATAAATTGTACGACCAAGAGAACATCAATTATGCTGTAAGACGATCACTGAAAGGAGATGCAGGAATGGTTGCCACTTGGAGCAAAAGCCAGCATACCAGATATCTTGCACAAGCTTGACAGTATATATGGAGCTGTGGAGAAAAAGGAAGATTTACTTGCTCAATTCTACCGAGCCAGACAAGATGATACTGAGACAGTTACTAAATGGAGTTCTAGATTGGAAAACATCATTGGTCGAGCAGTAGATAGAGGATTAGTACAACAAAAAAAAAGAAACGGCATGCTACATTCTATGCTATGGACTGGTTTGAAGACAGAATTAAAGGATATATCAGGCCACAAGTTTGACACGATAAAGGATTTTGATGAGCTCAGAGTTGTACTTAGACAGATAGAAACAGATCATGAGGAGAGGAAGTTATCAGCTCATAAGCCACAACCAGCCAAAGCAACTGCAATTTCTGATATCAAAATGCAGGAATCACAGATGAATGAATTTAGAGGATTGAATAATCAACTTACTACCAGGATGGATAGATGGGAAACAGATTTTAGAGGAAGAGGATCAGGTAGAGGTCGAGGTTATAGGAACAATAGAGGATATTTCAACAGAAACCAAGGACAGTACAACAGAGAAGGAGGACAAGGACAACAACAGGGATATCATGAGTCATCTACACCACAAGCTACTTTAGATTATCAACACAAGGAAGAAAAGAAATGCTTTAGATGTGGATTACCAGGACACTATAAGATTGGTTGTACAGCAATACTAGATGGAAAGAAGAATTTAAACTACAAGAAGTCTATGGGTCAGGACCACCATTAGGCTTATGTTAGTCAACTACGACAGGTCCCACAACACAAGTACCACCAGGATTATTTGGAAGCCTTACAGAAACTGAGGTTATATTACATGGTAAAACAGTTAAGAGTCTTTTTGACACTGAATCAACAGTTTCAACAGTCAGCCACACATATTACAACAACAACTTGATTGATTTGCCACTTCAACAGCTTAACACCTTATTAGACATAGAGTGTGCAGATGGACAGCAACTGCCATATGAAGGATATATAGAAACAGAACTTCAGCTACCACTTCAGACTGAAAAATATCCATGCATTATATTGGTTGTTCCAGATAGTAGCTACAACATCCACGTACCACTACTTATTGGCACCAACTTCCTTCAACACATCATGAACTTATTACAACATCAACATGGCAACAGGTATTTACAGACATCTAAACTCAGCACTTCATGGTACCTTACCTTTAGAACTATCACACTAAGAGAAATGGAACTTCAACGTCACAACAACACATTAGCTGTTATCAAGAATGCTATTGGCAAACCAGTTACCATCAAGCCAAATTCAACGGTTCAGATACCAGGTTACATCGACAAAGAACTACCATATAGTACAACACCAGCTATGCTTCTTCCATCAACTTTACAACCCAACTGCAACGATCTTGAAGTAGAACCATCACTTATAGAATTCAAGTACAGAAGTAATAGACAGATAGACGTACAACTTGCCAATGTTACATCACGCACAATTACCACTCAACCAAGTGCAGTACTATGCGAAATACAACCAGTCTGTATTGAACATCAAACAGAAGACACTGAAGCAAAGATACCCATTATTGATCAAGTGGAAATCAACACCATTGACTTAACAGAAGAGCAGTTGAAGATGGGGAAAGATTTTATAAAGTCATATGAAGACATCTTTGCTAAGAATGATCAAGACATTGGCAACACTACAGTGAAACACCGAATAGACTTGTTAGAGGAACACCCGTTTAAACAACGATACAGGCGTATACCACCAGCCATGTATGATGAAGTGAAGGCACATCTCAAACAGTTATTAGGTAACGGAACTATCAGACCATCACATAGCCCTTATGCTTCGAATGTAGTTCTGGTAAGAAAGAAGAATGGCAAGCTGCGCCTATGTACAGATTATCGTCAACTTAACAGAATCACGAAAAAAGACAGCTATGCTTTGCCTCGGATAGAAGATCTCTTTGATGCTCTTGCAGGCAGTTCATACTTTACATGCGTTGATATGAAGAGCGGATATCACCAAGTCGAGATCTTAGAGCAGCATAAAGAAAGAACCGCCTTCACAGTGGGTCCACTCGGGTTCTACGAGTACAACAGAATGCCGTTTGGTTTGACCAATTCGCCAACAACCTACCAAAGATTGATGGAGGAATGTTTATCAGATTTGCACCTTAAGATTTGCTTCATCCTTATAGACGAAGTCATCATCTTTGGCAGAACATATGAAGAACATTTGGACAATCTCCGCCTAGTATTTGACAGGATCCGAAAACACAACATGAAGCTTGCACCAAAAAAGTGCTCATTCTTCAAGAAAAAAGTGAAGTACGTCGGCCATGTTGTTTCAGCGGAAGGTGTGGAGGTTGACCCAGACAAGACAGATAAGGTTGTGAATTGGCCAAAGCCCACCAGTCCTGAAGATGTACGACGATTTCTTGGATTCGTCGGATATTATCGTCGCTTCATTCGACACTTCAGCAAGATCAGTAAGCCACTTACAGAATTGATGCCGAATCCAATGAAGAAGAAAGTAAAGAAGCACGAACAGATACCATGGCACTGGGGTCCAGACCAAGAAAAGGCGTTTGAATCACTGAAGGAACGGCTTGTGTCAGCACCTATATTGGATATGCCATTAGCAATCTTCCATACGAGCTACATACAGATGCATCAGGATTTGCACTTGGAGCTGTATTGTACCAGAAGCAGGGAAAGCATTTGAGGGTTGTCAGCTACGCCAGCAGAAGCTTATCTAAATCTGAGAAGAGATATCCACCACACAAGTTGGAATTCCTCGTTTTAAAGTGGGCTGTTTGTGAGAAGTTCAGGGATTGCCTCTTAGGCAGCAACTTTAGTCATGACAGACAACAACCCCATGACATATGTTTTGACCACAGCTAAACTCGATGCCACCGGTCACAGATGGTTGAACAGCCTTGCAGACTTCAACTTCAACATCTTGTACCGACTTGGAAAGAAAAATGGAGACGCAGATGGACTCCGAATTCCAGATGTACAAAGTACAGATTTTGATAGTGAAGAAATCATATCGATAGAGTCCGTACAGGCTATCTGCAACTCACAGCTTCCGAACACATTCATCGAGAGTTTAGCTGTTAACCCAGATGTTGTGCAATCTGATGATGATGAAGAAAAATACAAAGATGAAGATATCATCGATTGGAAACAAGCACAAGCCATGGATTCACAGATAGCGCCGTTTGTGAGATATGTTAGAGAAGGAAGGAAACCTACAACAGCAGATATCGGATCATCACTACTCTTGCGACAGTTTCAACACCTTATTCTCAAAGATGGCGTTTTATACAGAGACGTGATGATTAATGATGACAGTAAATCACAGCTGGTATTACCATCTGCACATATAAAGATCGTCCTTGAGGCACTGCATGATGATATGGGCCATCCAGGCAAGGATAGAACACTATCACTACTGCGTGACAGATTCTACTGGCCAGGAATGGACAAGGCAGTTGATGATTGGATAGGACAGTGCAGTAGATGTTTGAAAAGGAAAACACCAGCTAGCAGTCAAGTTGCACCCTTGGTCAGCAATACTACCAAATTTCCACTAGAGCTAGTTTGCATTGATTTCCTAAAACTTGAGCGTTCTAAAGGAGGATACGAAGATGTACTTATCATCATGGACCACTTTACTAGATACGCCCAGGCTATACCAACGCGGAATCAAACAGCTAGAACTACTGCCCAAGCACTCTTTGACAACTACATCGTTCACTATGGAATTCCGCTACGTATCCACTCTGACAGAGGAGCGAATTTTGAAAGCAAAGTGATCAAAGAGTTATGTACCTTGACTGGGATGAAGAAATCGAGAACAACGCCGTACCATCCTATGGAAAATGGTATGCCAGAGAGGTTTAATCGCACCTTGATGGGGATGCTTGGTACATTAGACCGACAGCAGAAGTCTAACTGGAAAGCTTCGGTTGCACCCATGGTTCACGCCTACAACTGCACTCGTCACGAGTCAACAGGAGTTGCACCGTATTTCCTCATGTTTGGACGACAGCCACGTCTACCGATTGATTTAGCTTTTGGACTTCACAAAGACACCAAGATGCCAGCCACAAAGTACATCCAAGGTCTTCGTGATAGACTTGCCTGTGCCTACCAACTGTCAACAGAAGCATCCAAGAAAGCACAAGCAACTCAGAAGGAAGCATACAATCTTCGAGTCAGAGGAGCCTCTAAACAGAAGGGTGACCGTGTGTAGGTGAAGATCGTATATTTCGATGGCAGACACAAATTGGCTGATAAATGGGAAGATGTACCATACGTTGTTTTGGATCAGCCAAATCAAGACATTCCTGTATTTACCGTCATCCGTGAAGATGGAGAGGGAAAAATAAAGAAACTCCATAGAAATCTACTTCTTCCAGTTGGCTACATCAGAGACCAGGAACCAGTAGAGTTACAAACTACCAAACAGAGACCAACTCCACGCCCATGTGCTAGTAAGCAACAGAAAATACCAGTGGTTCAGGCAACCAAGGAGGATTCAGCTGATGACACAGCATCAACTATTCCAGAGGACTCCGAGGTTGGATTTGTGTTGACAGTGGACAGCGAATCATCTCTTGCTGAAGACTCCAATGCCAACATAGATATCATTGATGAGGTTACCAGTCTTTCTGGGGACGCCCAGATTGAAGAGACTGAACCTACTGGAAGCGCTTCCGAGGATGCTGAGAGTATTTCATCAGAAGATACTACGATTGATGATGATGTACCTCAGGATACAGACGGATTACCACCGGTAGAACTCAGACGTTCTGGAAGGGAACGAAGACCACCTTTTTGGTTTCGATCCGGACAGTTCGAGACAAGTATGGCTGTTGCTAGATCAACTAGTATTCCAGAGTGGCGACAGAAATTTTGGGGTAGTTCTATATTTAGTATTTCTTTCCTCAAGGCTACATTACCACTCAAGTTTTCCCAAACCTACTATCCTTTCAAAGTCAATAAAAGATAAGTAAAATGTATCATGTCGAAATACCTATCGGATTTTTTTTTTAAATTACAAAACAATCTTCTAAAATTGGCTTTCAAATATACCCTTTAAATTGGTTCTGAATGTCTATTCTGTAACTGAATTAGCCCGAAATGATATGAATTTTCTTGAAGGTGTTATTTTCGTACACGTAATATTATCTTATATAATATGGTTGTAGATGATCACAATTATTCCTTGTTTTCTCACAAACTTTTTGCGTTTATGTCTTTATCAAAACGCTATAACCAATCAGTTCTTAGTTAACAATATAAACCGTAAGTCGTATGCAAAGTGGGTCCTGAATACAATAAAGTTGATCGCGTTTTCATAAATGACCTCATGAAATGTGAAAGGTCATTTACATTTTCTGACATGCACAATTTCTTTAACTGTTACTATTATAAAAATATGAAGATGTGGTATGATTGCCAATGAGACAACTCTCCACAAGAGACAAAATGACACAGAAATTAACAACTATAGGTCACCGTTCGGCCTTCAACAATGAGCAAAACCCATACCGCATAGTCAGCTATAAAAGGTCCCGAAATGACAAATGTAAAACAATTAAGACGAGAAAACTAACGGCCTGATTTATTAGTTTGTGACAAGCAGTTATTCGTTTGACAAAGCATTATTGCACATGTAAAACAATAAAAGTTCCTCTTATGGGTAAATGTGATTTTTTAACGAATTTTGAAAGAATCAAAATCAACCTTTTACGAACAATACAAATATTACTATTATTATAAAACTTCAAATATCATATCAACCGAGACTTATGCCGTACTGAAAACATCCTGGTCTTGCTTGTAGAATTCTTTGTAAAATTAATAACAATATTCGTTGATATTTTTGCTAGATAGACAGTATTGAAAAAAATATCAGAAAGCGTGCTTATTTTTCCAATCTTCAAAGAAGCATTGCATGTTCAAAGGTGTTAGCATGTTTAAGTGCCTTGAATGTTCGATACACAATGGAGATATTAAAACCCATGAAAAATATATTAATGCACTGGTAAGCACAGGTCAGATAATACGACGGAATGTGACATACAATCGTTATTGGTGCATACTAGTAAAAAAATTCTGAAAATGTTAGCAATATCTCTAAAAGATATAATAAAAGTCAAACACAAGCCCATTCCTTTTTGGGCAAACTATTCAATAACATAATTATTTTCTACTTAGAAAATGTATTTTTCGACATATTAGAGAACAAGAACATATGCGCTTACAGAAAAGCGCTTCGGATACGCGAAACTATTGCAATACTATGTTCTTTAATGCAGTTTTTGTAAGTTTTCTATTGATAGATTTGCCTACCATTGTCAACATAGTAAAATTGTGTCATTTAAAGAATGTGTTATCACTTTTTAAAATGTACCAGATTGTTTTCAATAGTTGTATTTCTAATACTTACTTGAAAATAGAATCAATATGGGAATGCTCCTCTCAAATATCATATTCTTAGCCTGAAATGAAAATGTAATGGTTAAATCAGGTAAATATAACATTTTAAGAAATATAAAATGATGATGAAGAAAATAAGAATAAGGCCATGAAATTCATTATTCCAGCACGTTATTGAATTTAAAGCAAGACAAAAGAGCAACAGGAAATATCTATAATGTAAGGTCAAAGATAAAAGGGACTTAGCTTTATTATACATGTTTATGAATATAAATACCAATTTCCCGACAGCCCATGGTAATGCATGGACGCCAGTTATCAATCATAAAAAAATAAATTATTGTTTTATAACAGCAGTTTAGGTGTCAGACCACTAATTCACCCACTCCAATTTAGAACGTATGTAAAAATAGCCCTTCCCTGACAAAAAATAGTGCTTTTGATGTCATTGTTTACTTAAACTAACCAACAAATTTATAGAAATCAGAAATATATGTAGACCATTTTGAGCCAAAATTTACTTGTCAATGAGTTTGCATTAAACATTGAGGATTAATGCGCTCCATAGTATATTTATTTAAGATTTCCAAAAAAGGGGTTATCTTTAGCAGTACTTGTCTTCCGAACGTTAGTATATCCTTACAAGACTTTAAACATAGGTTGAAAATTGGCATGTAGAAAGATGATACATGTCCAATTCAGGATATACCTGGTTTCTACGACGTTAAACTTAAGGTTTAATATTTAGAAAGCTGTGAAATTTGAAAAATTTGATTGAATAGATAGGGATTTTGAATTGGTGGTCTGACACCAGGTTACGGAAGCGTATTAGCGCCATACAAACTTTTCATTTATATTTCTTTCTATGTTTGCGTTATAACGCAAACCTTGGCGAAATAGCGCAAAACTTTGCGTTATAACGTAAACATTTGCGGAATAACGCAAACCTTTGCGCTACAACGCGATCATATGTTTTTATCTTATTTCTTATTTAAGTTTCAATTAAGGAAAGCAGTCGTTATAAATGGAGGAGGCATCATGTATTAAAATTTATCACTCTTTGTACTGAATGCAAAGTAAAATGCTTGAGTGTTTAGCGCATATCATTGCATAATAATGAGCAGAAGAATATATGTATATATATATTACAAAAACAATTGAGTAAATTGAAGTTATACCGAAGAAAATAAATAATCAATCAAGTTAATGTAGCCGAATTTAAATATACTTCCAAAGTAAGCGATCGTTTGAGCATCGTGTAAGATTGGTTAGCCACAAACAAGCTACCGTCCTAAAATAAATGTATAAGATGAAGATTTTTTATTATTATTATTATAATTATGTACTCCTTATTCAAATTCCTACCTAAACATCTGTTAAAAATAGGTACCTAACCAGACTGAAATTTAAAACTTCATGATTTTTTATCAAAGAATCTTTATCATATTCTGATATTTCAACAAACGATTTCTTACATAAAAAAAATAGTTTTCGTTCAAAATTGTTCATTTTAAAGCCGAAAGATCATTTTGTCTATTTGACACTATAGTTTCACAATTGTATGACATTTTTGTTTGCTCCTCTCTTCTTTGCCACTTCCCCTAAAACAAAATTTTCAAAATCTTATCTATTTTCATGTTAAATTTATATTAATTTCTGATACAAAAATCTTTCTTAATTTGTGTATAATTGCGATACAATTATCCCAAATTATTTTAAGAAAAACCTCTATCCGAAGATATGTATATCCCAAGATAATGCAAAGTATATTTCAAGAAAAAATGTGTTTGGACCTCACCTACTATAACGAGTGAGACATCACACAAACGAATGATACGATAACATGGCTTATTGCATGCTTATATAATTAGGAAGATGTGGTATGGTTACGGATTAGACAATTTTCAACCAGAGGCCACATGGTGTTAAAGTTATATTTTTCACAGTGCGGCCTTCAACAATGAGCAAAAGTCATATCGCATACACATATAAAATGCCACGACGTAACCAATGTAAAACAATTCAAACGATAAAATTAACGGTCTGGTTTATGAACAAAAAATAAACGAAAAACAAATACTTGTATGATATACAAGAACAAACAACAGTCTACTAATATAGGACAGGCATATGCAGAATGTGGTTGAATAAAACATGGTTGAGGGCGCTCAACCCTCCATCAGAGTGGTGTAACAGCACAACATAAGTTAAAAAAACTATGAGAAACTGTTGAAATAGTTTGTAGTCTTTTGTAGCCGACTGTGCGATGTGGGTTTTTCGCGTTGTTGAGGGCCGTCCGGTTGCCTATTAATGCTTGCATTCACTTCATTTGAACTTTGGTGGATAGTTGTCCCATTGGCAATCATACCACATCTGCTTATTTTTATATTGACTCCTTAGATCGACACCTTTATTGGTTGCACTTTTGTAAATCTAGACAATGCAATTTTCTATAAGAACTCCTTTAAGGGCTGAAACTCTGCCACTTTGTTGTATAAAAATAAAAATATCCTGCAATGGAAATGTCACATGCACTTCTATGTTTTGCAAAGGTAAAAAAATAGATTTGTGGGGCATATGTTTAACCTTGATATGCCTCTAACTTCTAAGCGTTAAAACTTGTACTTAAATACTGCACTACCCTCCCTGTACATTGAGTCTTCCTGAGAATTTAATATTACTACTATCCAACTGTATTTATACTGGTAAAATTCCAAAGTTGTGTCTCTATGATATGAACATGGAGATCATATCTGGGAACCAGAAGGTAAATAAAACAAAATATCTAATAATATTAAGTATCTCCCTAAAGAGGCGTGGATTGTGAAACAACTGTATTTACAAAGGGCAACATATAGCCTAGTTTGTAATGCATTAATAAAAGGAAACAGTCCGCAAATATAAATTCTAATTATGCCAGGACTGTTCCGACAGCCAGGAAACAGTTTTACCTGTTCTCTTGTATCTTTGTTTTTATTCATTACATACGTTCACGAGGTCACAACAAGATAGATAGTTCCTGCAGTGTTATTGGCACTTATCGTTATATTTCCCAACGGAAATTTTGACCGAAAGATTTTAAGTTGTTACAATATTTTTGAATAATGAAATAGTACATAATACGTCTTGAGATATAAAATTGAATCATTCAATATGCACGAGTTGCTTTTAATAGAAAAAGAAGAGATATTTAATTATAACCAATTCATGTTTGCAATTCAATATTTAGATGTTTCCTTTTAAGGTAGCACAATACAAAGATTTTTTTACTTCCAATCTCGAACCTTTAAAAAGATGTTACTTTCTTAAAAATGCATATAAATTAATAAAAGAGGTATATATAGAGAGATAAAAGATTAATCTTTTAAATGAATGCAATATTTTTGTTATGCAATCATTATGTAATCAATTATCATGCAATTAATGGCAAAATCTTGGTCAGTTTACTTGAATGAATTTAGCTCTTTCATCTCTATAACTATACAGGAAATTTTAACGAAATCATAATCAACACAGCAGGAGCTACAAAAGGGTGTCTCAAATTATTGCTATGGTATTCCATTCTCTCATAAATCTGTAATTAGTGTAAACATCCTTACCACATAAAAGTAGATAATGTTTGATTAGGTGTAAAATTTTATCTAAACATTCTATCCGAAATCTGAGAAACCCTTTTGTAGATAATGGCTCTAGGAACAACATATAATAAAATCAACTTTCTAGGGGTTACCATGAAGAAGCTAATTTCAATTGAAAGTGGAAATTTCTTGTAAAATTTTGTAGACACAGTTAACATTATAATTGATTACATAATTGTTGTATAATACTAACATTGCATTAATTTGAAAGATTAATCTGTTAGCTATCCATAAATACCACTTTTATAAATTTTCAAGCATTATAAAGAAAGTTACAGCATTTTTAAACTGGGGAATTGGAGGTATAAAATCTTTGTATTGTGCTACCTTAAAAATAAATGATACACGTACTATTGCTCTGTAAAATTATACATAATGGACTCACACATTTCAGAAGTGATCAGCTAATTTTCAAGCCGGACACACAAATTAATTTAGTCTCGATTCATATTCAAAACATTCAATATTGATATTGCAACTTTCTCGCATAGGAAGTATCTCCAGAAATGTAAAAACCCGACATGTTTTCATTTTCCCCCTTAAATAATTATTCATGTTATATAGGTATTTTTATTACAATTGGAATATCGTGTAAACGAACAAGGAACGTTTGAAATATGACAGTGTTTCAGTGATAAGTATAATATTTCACGATTTCATTTTATGATTGTGAAGCTTATTTTAAATGGGAGACATATATTATATGTCAGCCAGAAGGTTTACACAATGTAATATTTGAAAAGCCTTTTATTTGATTTAGATAAATTGTTTAACCTAATATTTCTGCTACCTGATCTTGGATCTGTCATTGATGTTTAAAGTTTATTTAATCGGCATATTGTATGAGCATTGTGATAATTAATGCTAGATTAAGTATTATGTAGTTTAAATAATTTTTTAACAGTTCAAAAGGAAAATCGTAGCAAATTATTTTTAGTGCAAAGTTTTAACTTATTTAATACCTTTGAACCATTCACTTAATTGAATAATTGAAATCTACCATTTGCATTTTTGTTCTAGTCTATTTTTGATGATATCGATCTAAGCTATATATTGTATATTCCATTTATAAATGGCAACATTAGCATTAAGAGTTTTAATTATAACCTATGTCCAGATAACTCAAAAAATGGTTCAGTGGTGAACTAAATGTGTGTAGAAGTCATCGATGTTCATTATTTTTTAGTTTGTTTTTGAAGGAGTAGTTGATAAAGTTAACAAAAAAAGGAAAGAAAAATATATGCAACCAAAGAACGATGTTTCCATTTGAAATTTGAAATTCTCGAAAGTCACAGCTAGATGAAGGAACAATACTAAGGGAGCAGAACGTTGTTTAGAGTAGTTTAACGGTTATTGTCTTTGTAACGAATGTAACCATAATAAGGTCATTCCACTTCCACTTTTTCGTGGAAAGACCTTTTGATTTTGTTCTGATTATGTTCTTTCTTCCGCCAGATTTTATTCTTGCGTGTTCTTTTTGTTTCGTAACATGTCGCTTAGATATTTGGTATGTGATATCTTACAGTTTATGCGCTTTTAAAGTTGACCCTGCTAATGCGAACAATTATCTTTGTTGGAATTATCTCCCCGTACATTGTTTTTTTTTGTTATTGCTACTCCATCGCAACCGTATAAGAAACCGACAATTTTTTTTTCTCCTAATTGCTCATTATATCTTCAGGATAACCGAAGCCACTCAGAGACTCCATATGAGAGTTATTTCTCATTATGTGTATAAACCGTAAGTAATAGAGACCTATGGTATTTTTATTTGAGGTCAATGGTCCACAAAAACTAAAATGAGTTCAAGGTCAAAGGTCAATAACGCTTATTCTAAGAAACCGTATAAGGTATCTACAAAATGTTTTTACTAAATAGTTAGTTGCGGCAAGTCGCAACATATTTATTTTGTTTGAATGGGCACGGTGACATTTAATGGTAGTTTTCGCCCCTCTTATATTAAAAAAAAACTAGCTGTATGGTGATATAACTCATATATAGTAAAGAACTAGGGTCTTTTGGTTTGAAGTCCTTGCCTTGTGGCCTTGAAATTGAGGTCAAGATCAAAGTTAAATTGACGTTCTAGATTTTGAACTTTGCTATTACTTCATATTAGTAAATGATAACGTCATAGGATTTTTGCATTAGGTTGAGGAAATATGAGAAAGGTCAACAGGAAGTGACCTTTATAGAACCGGAAGCAGCCATATTTTGCAGGTTTTTTTTTATAAATGTACCTCAAACTATAAATTTTTGAAATCAGTGTGAACTAACCAATCATATGTAACCGGACGTGAAGTTTTGTAAACAGGAAGTAGCAACTTATCTCCTTTGTTTCAAGCAAAGGTATATAGAAACCATATATATTTGGAATCAGGGTAAAGTAAGCTGTTATTTGACACCGAAAGTGACTTTTAATTACCAGAAAAGGCTTAAATATATCCCTTATTTCAAGAAAAAAGTTCTATACACGTTGCATTTTCAGAATCGTTTGGAGATAAGATATCTTCTAACACCAGACCCTCTATTTTCATTCAGATGCTCTTGTATAAGGTTGAAAAGACCGTCAATTGTTCTCTGAACAATTGGGTTTTAATTATGTTAAAAACTTTGTATTTGTAAACACGTTGATATCATGAGTCTTATGTCATACATAAATCATCGTTTTGTCCCTGTCACATGATCGCGTGTTTTTAATGTAGTTTTTGGTATTTTTCCAACTTTAAACATTATGAGTTAATTTGCTTCATCAAGGTAATGTTCTATCAGTTTATTCTTTTAAAGAACTCAAAATATAAAAACCCACATATTCTATTGACAATGTATTTATAGAAAAAAGATATTGTACACATATATCAATGGAATAATGGAATCAATCTTTAAAAAGATTGACGTTTTCATGGTTATTTGAAATCGAAAGGAGTTTCAATTAGGTTGAATTTTGTCATGTTCATGTTTTGTAATGACCCAGTTTTTCAGTTATCAAAATTAAGGCCACAAGCTGCTTAAAATAGTCATTTTGTTTATAGAAAAAGTATTAAGCAAATCGCCCAAGCAAAACAAATAGATGAAAAATAAGAAAAATCAAAGCAAAACATTAAATTGTTTATAAATTATAAGCAATAGTACTTTACCGATATTTAAACCTCATAACATATTAAAAAGATGCAAATCAATATTTTCGCATCAACTCCAAAAAGAACACAACTGGATGCGTCGTCAGAGTGAGCATCCCCAGTTACACATAGATCACCCGCACTGCGAATCCACACTCAGTCAAAATGTTCTGAATCGTTTATCCAACTTTTATATTCTTAGGGTGGAAAGACCTTCAATTGTTCTCTGAGCAATTGGTTTTTAATTATGGTTGTGTTTGTAAACACGTAGATATCGTGAGTCTCATGTCAACACATATCCCAAACTACTTTGTTGTTGACTTAGAAGAGACAATCTTAGAGGTCTTCTTATCTATTGTAATGTGTAACTGTTAAATAATTTGGCAATGTTAGTGCATAAGATTATGATTTCTGTAAACTACCGATGTAAAATGTTTCTAACCTTGAATCAGTGATTTATGCATTTCCCAGTCACATGATCCGTGCTTTTAATAAAGTTTTGGCCTAATTTTAACATAAAACATTTTATAGTTAATTAGGTTGATCCAGGTAATGTTCTATCGTTTTATTTATTTTTAAACAACTCTAAAAATAAAGACACGCATATTCTATTCACAATGTAATTATAAAAAAATATATTGTACAAACATATCAATGAAATAAGGCATTGATCTTTAAAAAGGTTGACGTTTATTTTAAATCGAAAAGAGTTTGAACTAGGTTGAATTTTGTCATGTTCATGATTTGTAACGACCTAGTTTTATAGTTATCAAAATTAAGGTCACAAGCTGCTTAAAATAGTTATTTGTTTATTGTAAAGTATAAAGCGAATAGCCTAAGCCAAGCCTAAGCAATACAAATAGATAGAAAATAAGAAAAATTAAGACAAAAAATTAAATTGTTGATAAATTATATGCAATAGTATTTTACCGATTTTTAAACCTCATAACCTATCAAGAAGATTCAAATCACAATAATCGAACTAAAAAAAAAAGAACACATTCGGGTGCATTATAAGGGTAAGCATCTCCTGTTTGGCATGGATCACCCGCACTGCAAATCCACACTCCTCTGATAGCATGATAAAAGAATTGAATGTCTGCTTCATATATTATAAATATATTAGCCTGAGATAGAAAACGATTGACAATTTGGTTGAAAAGTAAAGAATATGGTATGTAAAGAATATTTTTGCAATAATATTTGTGGGCGAGGGATGGCGCCACTGTTAATTTGGTCAAACTGTCATACATTTTGCCAAATTATGCTATATATCAGGTTTTGATGAAAGTCACCCACATTTATGACGCTACAAATACATCACTAATGACGCAATTGGTGAAAATCTTTTTTTCTTACTGAAACAATTAGACATTTTAACACACGTTATATTTATCGTAGTTTAAAAAAATTAGACTTTTAGGGCCAAAATTATGAGCTTGTGAATCAACAGATCAGACGGCTATTCTGTAATTATACGATCTAACATGTCAACCAAAACGTTTATACATATATAAAATCTTTTTATGACATCATTAGTATTAAACTCTGTAAGTGGTAATTCAATATTTGATCTATGCAAAATTTCCAGCTCGTTTTATTGTAATCATAAGTGATGAAAGTTATTTGATGTGTACACTCCTTCAAAATATCTTTAATACTATGTTATTTTAATGAATATCGTTTTGAAATGAAACAAAAATCTCCTTTAGTACTTACATTAACACTTTAAATAAAAATGTACAATGCGAATTGACTTTTGTTGTCAAAGACACACGTAAAAAGACAAATCGAATACACATATTATATATCCAAGTTCTAGCCGAAAAGATTATTATGTTAAACAGTTAGCCCAACAAGTAAATGTAAAAACTCACCGAATAAAAAAAACAAAAAAGTGTGACTAGAATTACATCTTCAAATTAACACAGAGTAAAATTAACCAAGGTCAATAGTAAAATGCAACCTAAGATGCTAGCAGTAACACAATTCCTGTAATGAATAATAATGTTGATGCGTGTATAACTAATAAACTCATCATAGATACCAGGTTTGAAATTTTGTATTTGAGCAAGACGCGCGTTTCTTCTACAAAAGACTCATCAGTGACGCTCGAATAAAAAAAAAAGTAAAAAAGGCCAAAAAAAAAAAGTTCGAAGTTGAAGAGCATTAAGAACCAAAACTCCTAAAAGTTTCGCCAAATACAGCTAGGGTAATCTATTCCTTAAGGTATAAAAGAATTCAAAGTTTTGTAAACAGTTACTAGTAATTTATAATTATGACCATATCAATGATAATTCATGTCAACATGAAGACCTTCTGTCAAAATGGACTTAAATAAGAATAAAATAGGAATGGAATTGCTAAATGCAAATCAAAGTCTAACAAAACATATTTTATTGAAAATAACAAATAAAGAAATCTCCGACAAAGAAGAAAGCCAGTTGACAAAACTCATATAGCTGTTCACAATGAGTAGACATAATATCTTTGAATTGATGCAAGAATGTATTCTTTCATAATTATATGATATACAACATCAGTTATTATTTCAGAAAAAAAAGTAAGAAAGAAGGAGCAAACATGTCACTGTTTGAAAACTTTAAGGTATCCTGAAGTTCACAAAGGACCAAAGGCAGTTAAGATTCTTTTTTATTTAAAACTAGACCAGGACCAATTTCTGTCATAATTTTAAGTACAATACAAAGTCCGTTGTCATAAGGCTTTTTATATAAAATCATTGAAAATATTACTTTTTTGCGAAACATTAAGATTTTTTTTTCAATTTTGAATATGCCTTGCAACAAAGTTGTGACTTTGAAATAAGTGCAAGCCAGAATTAGATATCTGTACTTTTGGAACCTCGAATAGACATTTTCCATAGACCTAATGCAAATATTTCCTAACAACGGTGTTAAGACAATCTCATTTTTGTGCCTATAGTCAGTATTTTCAACAAATTATATTATATATAATTGTTCGTAAAAGTACAGATGTTGCACTGAACGATGACACAAAAGCAGTGGTACACTCAAAAGAGAATAACTTTTTTTTCAATGCATGGTCTGCATAACGCTGTTACCACAACTTTATTTGATAACAACTACAGCAATTAATCCAAATATACACATATAAACAATGGTTAAATTGTACTGAACATGTGTCAAATGCGTCTTATCTGTTTTGCTTGTATTGTTACATGTAACACATACGTAAAATGTATGTATCTATGTTTGGTCTAATTTAGTTTGTTCTAATGATGTTATTACTGCTCTTTGTCAGAAATATATTTTTCGGTCGTTTCGTTGGTTGAGATAGTCGAGCGTTTAGTTTTGTAAGGTTTATAGACTTCGCCTATTTTGAATTTACCTTGGAGTTTGATGTTTTTATACATGCATTTTTTGTTACAGTGTAAACTGTGCGGCTGTATAATAAAATGTCAAAATACCTTCAATCATAATAACATAAATACCACTACAAGTTACAAGAGTCCAAAAGGTAGTACTATCTTTTCATTAATAAGACGACTAGGAAGTCATGTCTTTAAAAATGACTATGAACTTCGTACTTTATTTGGCCTTTTTAACCTTTTTGATTCGAGCGTCACTGATGACTCTTTGCAGACGAAACGCACGTCTGGCGTACACAATTTCTGTCCTGGTATCTATGATGAGTTTATTTACTATAACACAGAACGACGGGATCAGATGAATGGACTGTCCACTTATCATTGTAAAGACAAAGCCAGAATACATATGAAACTGTGATATACAGTTTGGGTGTTTCAAAAGAGGGCACAAATCAATTCATGCGTATGAAATATACAAAACAGGCTGATAACCTTAAACATTAGAATTAAGATAACAGATGATTTATGAAATATTGTATGAGTAGAAAAAAAATGAGCAATTCGACACAGAAGGAAATGTTTGTGACTACAAAGATTTTGAAATAACAGAAATAGATTGATTGAAGGTTTTTAACACCACTTTCAGCAAACTTGTTGGCCAGTGTTTTTTTTAGGAAAAGAACTAACGACCTACGTCATACCAACTTTCAAATCGTAGAGATTGAACTCTCATTGACGCCAGAAGGGTTCAAACTCACAATTTCAGTCCGACTAGGCTAAGTATCACTGTAGAGGAACTACTTCGAGAAATTAGCCACTGCTCATGAAAGGAAAAATGAAAAATATAAGTAATTATGTATAAATATAGCTTTAGGAAGGAAAACATGCCTTTGACAAAATGTTTAGGGGATATTTTTTGAAATATATAAAGATTCATGACAATTAATGTTAAACTAAATTAAAATGAAGTTTATCATTCAAATAACATTAATGAATCATATTTTGATACCTTTTGCATAATTGTCATTCTGTTAGAACAATTAATATTACCCCTCCCCTGCTCCTAGAAATTCACTTACTCCATTTGTTTTGCAGTAACCATTATTAAAGCTGCAGAACCATTAAGGACTTATATCATTAGAATATCTGTAGGTTACGCACATGCCGGTTAACACTAAAAAGACCTCATTTACAGAACAGGGGTGTGCTCCTTACATAAAACTGTGTCAAAAGAGTTGTGAAGAAAAACGACAATTAATCTACACAACATACGTTAACGGTCAACATCATGAATTAGTTTACCAATACGATGTCTGAGTCTTAATACACTAGCAATATATTGTCGTGGTCTTAGTCATCTGATCTGTAAATTAACCAATTGTGTCATTTTAATTGAGTGTAGGTGAGCATGGCGGGTGATGAAAGAACATCCGGAAATGTTTACTCTGTTGACGAACTGGGTCTTGCTTCATTTGAGACTTTTGCGATTTCCCCTAATTTATACTTCGACCAATGGATTTGTTCAAATACAAGGCAATATCAAAATATGTGTTGTATTATCAATTTACTATGTGATACTGGAATTCCCGAAAGAAAAAATAATTATCCCTTTACACCATCACATATTGAAATTATGACAGAAGATATAAGTTTGTAAAATCCTTTATACAAGTTATCTTTGTACAGTTGTATCGAATGGTAAAGGTTCAAAATATGACATTGATATTCGAAGTTCATTGTTTGAAATACCAGTAGATGCATTAATGAATAAAAAAGTGTAGTTAAAGGTCTTCATATTTGTTTAATTCATTGTGGTTTAAATAAAGGAAAAAGCGAGCACTCCATTGAGAAGGCAGTAGTATCTAAATGTTTTAATATAGTACACTATATGAAATGTATGTATAGACCCGCGAACAGCCCGTACATGAAAATAATACTTGATAAATTAAGTGAGTCTGAAGCACTTTTCTGGATTAAACCTTATCCGGAACGCTAAAACACGTGTATTTGAAAACCAGAGAAGTATAAAAATGAAGTGTTCATCGATCTCCTTCTTCGAGTTGGTTGACCGATTCGACATGTCTGTGCCTCATCGCACTAGCTACATGTTTTTGCAGGCTTGGGTATTTGAATGGTATTATG